GACCACCTTTCTCTTGTAGATAAGGAGATAATAGTGCAAAGTGAATCTCTAAAAATTGATGACCATTTTATTCAAAAGCAACAAAAATACAGAACAGCAAAACAATTATTTGGGTCAAATAATCGAGAATCTGTTAAATTATTAAAAATCATAGGAGATGAACGAGACAAAAGGGAAAGATTACTGAAATTTACAAATTATTGTACACATCTTTTGAAGAGCTATAGAAAATGTTTAAGGGGGTGTAAATATTGTAGAATATGAAGCATTTTAAGTACACATGAGTGTAATTCACTTTCTTTATTTCTCTTTTTTTGCATTTGTTTCTTTTCTTTTGTATGTTTCTTAATAAGTGTGTCAATATCTTGTATAAATTCAATTATGTCTGGGAAACATAAGCTTTCTTCTTATCATAATGCACAAAGGAAAAAAATGTCCAGAAAGGAATGTCCTGGTTGTAAAAAATCTTTTTCAGTTAGATATTTTCAACAACATAGAACTGACAATTTTCAGAACAATGAATGGAAGTGCTCAAAATCAGATTATAGAAATGTTCAAAATTTTTCTGATGAGGAAGAAAATGATTTTGTTGAAAATTTTTCTTCAGATGACAATGTCTCTTCACACAGAGTGTCTGATGTGTTTTTTTCATATATGAGGAGGAAAGCTCCTCAAAATTCAGTTTACCCTGATTCAGACAGTGAGGATGAAACTTGGAATAGTGTATCTCTTGATGAATTAGATTTAGACTTGCAATTAGATAATGTCTGTGACAAAACGGTGAACAATGAGACAGTTGCTCTCAATCAAAATGTAAAATATGGAACATTTTTGTTGTGGTTATGTATATTTTTTTGTACATGGCAAGTTTTTTTTATGCTTCCAGATTCTGTTATGAATAGTTTATTGTCATTTTTATCTTCATTTTTCTGTGAGTTAGGTAAGGAATCAATTGTATTCTCAAGTTTTGCTGCTGTTTTTCCAGGATCAATATATTTATTATGGAAATGGTTGGGTTTGAAGAAGGATAATTTTACAAAGTATGTAGTTTGTAGAAAGTGTTTTTCTATTTACACTTATGATGAATGTTTGTTAGATGTAGAGGGTCAGACCATCTCTGCTAAATGTTCATTTATTGAATACCCAAATCATACTCAGCCTGGAAGGCGAAAACGTTGTGGGGAATTGTTATTAAAACGTGTTACACTGTTAGATGGAACAACAAAGCTATATCCCTTTAAATCATACTGTTATAAACCCATACAGCAGTCATTGCAAAATTTAGTTAGTCGTCCTGGATTTGAAGATTTGTGTGAAATTTGGAGATTAAGGAAACAACAACCTGGTTTTATGACAGATGTATATGATGGGAGAATTTGGAAAGAATTTCAGACTGAAGAAAAGCAGTCTTTTTTGAATCAGAAAAATAATTATGCTTTAATGCTTAATTTAGATTGGTTTCAACCATTTGAACATGTGAAATACTCTATTGGTGTATTATATGCTGTCATATTAAATTTACCCAGAGGAGAGAGATTTAAATTGAAAAATGTATTGCTTATAGGTGTCATTCCAGATCTTAAGCATGAACCTACTGTAAATAGTTTTATTACACCATTAATTAATGAATTAAAAATAGGTTGGTCAGAAGGTTTTAAGTTAGTTACACATGTTAGTCGCAATGTGAAGAAAACATTTAAAGTGGCTCTTTTGTGTGTTGGTTGTGATATACCAGCAACACGAAAGTTATGTGGATTTTTGGGACACTCGGCATCATTAGGATGTTCAAAATGCTTGAAAATTTTTCCAGGAGATATAGGTCAGAAAAATTATTCTGGTTTTGATGTAGCTAACTGGCCACAAAGAACAAAGGAAAATTATATGTCTTCTGTCAAAAAATTAAAGACAGCGAAAACACAATCGGAAAAAGAAAAACTTGAAAGTTGTTTAGGAGTGAAATTCTCAAAACTTAGTGAAATTGAATATTTTGATCCAGTGCGCATGTCAATTGTTGACCCAATGCATAACTTATTTCAAGGGACTGCAAAGAAAATGATGAAGTTGTGGCTGGATTTAAAAGTTTTGCATCCAGACCAATTAATCAAAATTCAAGAAAGGGTTGACTCTGTAAATGCAGCTAGCAACATTGGTGCTATTCCTAGGAAAATTGCATCTTCATTTGGTGGATTTACGGCAGAACAGTGGAAAAACTGGACAATTTTTTTTCAATATTTGCTCTTATAGATATTCTGCCCAACACTGACCTTAATGTGTGGAGAAATTTTGTATTGGCATGTAGATTTTTGACATCCAAATTTATTTCATTAGCAGAATTAAGTAAATTTGACAAATTCATTATAGATTTTTGTAAAGGTGTTGAAAATGTGTATGGTTCTTCAAAAATTACACCTAACATGCACATGCATTGTCATTTGTCACAGTGTGTTCATGACTATGGCCCTATTTATTCTTTTTGGCTTTTTAGCTTTGAGAGGTATAATGGCCATTTGGGAAATATGCCAAATAATAGTAGATCAATTGAAATGCAGTTAATGCGACGGTTTTTGAGAGATTCATTTGTTTATTCATTAGAGTTACCTTCTCTTTATTTTGACGAATTTAACAAACATTTCCCATGCATGACCCAGGATGTTTCAGATAAATCCATGTCTGATACAGAGATCTTAAAGGTTTTGTACATGTCAAAGAAAGGTGCAGATATATGTGGACAGGACTGGCAAATTAGCTCATTATTTAAATGTCACAAGTCTTCATGTCATATTCTTTGTTCAGTTGATTTTGATATGTTAAAGAAAACATATTGTCATATTTATTCAGACCTTCAGGATTTTATTGATTGCATGCCCAAGTCTTTTAGAAAATGTGGTTTTGTTTCTGTAGGTGGTGAGGTGTATGGATCTTATCAGTCCAGACATAAGCGCTCTTCATTTATTATGGCTTATTGGCATTCTGCTGATGGGAAAATCCTAAGTGATGTAGAATCAGGAGATATCCATCCAGGTGTAATACAGTATTTCATTCAGCATAACCTTATTGTTAGAGGTGAAAGTCGAGTACATTTGTTTGCCAAAGTCTTGTGGCTAATGCCACTTCCAAACGTGTATAGATTTCACTGTGGAAAACCTGTTGAGATCTGGCGACAAAATATTTATGACACATTTGGGCCATCTGCATTCATTCCCGTTCAGAGGATCAATTGTAAATATATTTGTGCAGATGGAAAGCTTTACAACAAGAATGTTACATATGTGTGCCCTATTGTCAAAGGTATAAACATATGATATTAAGAGTCTACATTGACTGGAATGTCCATTTAATTGTCAAGATTTGTGTGCAGTTGATAAATTCAGATGTAATTGGTATCTTAAACAATATGCCTTTGAAATGTTTAGATCTTTTTAGAGTTGATAAGGTCTTCTTTGAAGTATGTTTCGTCCTGCTCCAGTTGACTTAGTTCTTCTTGGAAGGATGTTTCGTCCTGTGCCAGTTGACTTAGTTCTTCTTGGAAGGATGTGTCGTCCTGTGCCAGTTGACTTAGTTCTTCTTGGAAGGATGTTTCGTCCTGTGCCAGTTGACTTAGTTCTTCTTGGAAGGATGTTTCGTCTTGTGCCAGTTGACTTAATTCTTCTTTGAAGGATGTTTCGTCTTGTGCCAGTTGACTTAGTTCTTCTTGGAAGGATGTATCGTCCTGCGCCAGTTGACTTGAGTGATTTTGGAAGGATGTTTAGTCCTGCACCTATTGATTTGGATCTTCTAGCATGTCTAGGAAGTGTGATTTTGTATTGTGCCCCTTTTCATACTAGGTCTAGTAAGAAGGATGTTTCAACCTGTGGTAGATGTTTTGAGCTTTATAGGGATGCGTTGCCTTTTGTCAATGGGCTTGTGTCTTCTTTTTTTTGGTCTTTGTTGTAAATAGTATTTTTCATTCAGTCTAACATGATATATAAGTACTTATAAAAATAAGTAAAAAGATTATGTTGGTAAATCTTATGTTGCAATGATGCTTGTATTTTTTTTTGTCAGAAGTCTTTGTTTTAGCAGTTTTTATTTTTGTTATGGCACAGAGAACATTTTTCAGGTAATTGTTATAATTTGAAAATTGTGTGATTGCTATTATGACTGCTGCATAAAGGTTACTGAAAAAGTTACAATTAATTTTTAATAAATATTATCAGAGAATAATGAATTCTTCTTGTAACATGAAATTGTTTAAAAATAATTGTTTATATTACTAAATTAGCCTATGTCACAATGATATTGTAAAAAAAAAAAAAGAACAATTCACTCCATATTACTGTTAAAATTTAAAAGCCAGATTATAGTTAGTGCAGTCATGCTTTTAACGGATGATTTTTTTTACACCCAGTGATAGAAAAATAATGTTTTTTCTATCACTAGGTATAAAAAAAAATAATATGTGAATTTGAGTTTAGGAAAGGAATACATTTAATAGCCATCTAAGTTGTATATATATAATCCTGGTTGGAGTTTAAACATTGTTTATACAGGAGAAACTGTCCATCCCAGTATTATACAGTACAAATATTGGGTAGCTATTGAATGTATTCCTTAAATAACTTGAACCTGTATAATATTTATTTGAAAGATCTACATATAGAATTTTACATTTAAGTAGAAGTATTTTTAAACATATTTTTTTTCTCAAATGTAATGTTGAACATGTGAAGTATTTGTTATAATGTATTAAATATTAAAAATACAATAAAATATTCCTGTGATTATCATTGTTTTATTTTTTATTATTAAAAAGGTACCTGGAGCACATAAACCATTTTTATACAAAGAAGAAAAAAAGGTGCAAAGTACTACAACCATATTTATGAAATATCAAAGGTTATTAGATAAACAAGGAAAAAGTTGAGATTTCGGTCCGCCTTCTATTTGACATTATCCGAAATAGTTCACATGTACCATGTGTACGCACCATCGTTTTTTGAAGGGGGGGCATTTTTTTACCTACATGGAAAAGTTGAAAGGCAAAAAAAAAAAAAAGAAACAGTTCCCAAACTCAAAAATCCTATATTTTTGCATTCACTACTGCATTTCCCTTATATTAACTTGGGGGGGGGGGGGGGGAGGGGGTCAATGAACATTTTCAATAATAAAGGTAATGTTCGGGAAAAAATAGGGATAATGCCCCCTGTTGCTAAGTGACTGCAGCAGGAAACCACATTGAACTATTATTTTCACCCGTATATTCATATACAATGTATATATATATATAGAGAGAGAGAGGGGGGTGGGTGGGGGGTTACCTCATTTGCCCGTGTGTATAATTATTTATTAAACTCGTATTAAATGTGCAACATCAAGTTTAATTATATTAAATTTTATTAAACTTCACATATAATTTCGATAATTAAACGCCATTATACTTTTAGGTATAATTTTTCATTAAATTCCTATTTTATGTTAAACTTCAAGTATAAAAAAAATTTAATCAAATTTAATTTAATTAAACGCTATATTTCGTGCAGTGGATGCCAGACTGCAGACTATACATGAAATTTATTCCAAAATTACTTTAATTCAACGTAAGACAGTATCAATAATGATGATATGTAGCCGTGGAATTAATCTGAGAATTGTTTACCGAGACTTGAATCTACATAGCCAAAGTGTTTGTGTTTACTAGTACATGTATTCATAATCGAAAGGTCGCTCTGATGTGACCCCTAATGGGATGTTAGATGTTTGAGAAGCGGTAGCGGATTTGGAACATTTAAATAAATTTTAATTAGATTGAAATGCATTTTCAAAATTCAAACATGAGATTTCTTCAGTTTGAAAGACAGGACGTGCATTTTTAAAACTTCTCTCTTGGTGGCATCCAATCGTTCTCTGGATGAAAACAATTATGTTGATGTTGAAAATTTAATTGTCTTTCATGCTCTATTGAATCTGAAATTAGGTAATTGTAAAGCCTACTATAGCAAACAACTAAAAAAATGACAAGTTAAATTCTTTAGATTAATGGATTTGGAGTAGTGTAGATCTACAGCTGGCTAGTCAGAGAAAAAAGGATGGCTGAGCAGAGACTTTGTATATGAATTGATATCAGAGAGCTCCAGATGTGTAGGCTCACTGCGGGTGTAACCTGTCAACGAGGGATGCTTACTTCTTCTAGGCAACGGATCCCACCTCTTGAACTTTCAGGAGTCAGTTTTTCTTCTTAAATCGATCATTGATCATTCTGTATTTTGATACAGATACTTCCGTTTAGAAATATTATGAACTACTTCTACGGGAAGACTGGCGAGTAAACAAGATTATCAAGCTTTATGAAATGTACTTTATTGACTTTTCAAACAAGTAAATGTTCGAATAAAGTAAATGGTATATGAGAATCGTTTAAAAGAAGTCTTGCACAATATGTCTATATAAGGACATATAATGTGTATTTGCCATATACTCTATATGCAATATTAATCTCAAATAAAACATGTGAAAAGGAAAGTTGTCTAATCAATCAATACTAGTATTTAAAAATTCAAATGTACACTAAAAGTCAGTGTAACTTAAGAAGTAATCAGTGTCATTTTCTTCAATATGTCGGTTAAACAATATACACCGATTTTTTTTTCTATCAATGTGCCTCTAAACACCTGTATTTTAATTTAATTCTTCTCAAACGCTCAAAATAATAATCGACAAATTGGATAAATTCAAATTTAAAAAGTATTTTCACAGTTAATAATACGTTCCCTAGGAACTGATCAAATTTTCAAAACTTATAAATAAGCATTAGTATATATTTTAAATTTTTGCTAATTGCCAAGATTTTTCATACCTCATTCTTCTGTGAATAATAATGTCGGTTGATTTTTAGAAGAGGATCACAATGCCGATTAAAATTAATATATATTTATCCATTTTTTTTTTCAAAATTAGTTTTACTACTTTAAGTGCCCCATTATTTTTTTTTTCAAAACTAAAAGTAAGTAATCCCTTATGATCGTTTGTAATAAATTATCAAAGACGGGGAAGAGAATTTACCCCTGGAAGCAGAGCTTTTATAATCTGTTTATTAGACAGAGAAGAAAAGAGAAGAAAACAAACGTTTCATTGTGGAGGTAATCCTATTGTTTCCATAAAAACGTTACAAAAAGTGTAAACCTTACAGATGTATTCAGTGTTTTTATAACAGCGTTTTTCAGGTATTACTTAACTTAATAAATGTCGTTTCTTAAGACTTTGGCAAGGAAAATCAAACTCGATCAAGAGATTTGCTGATGTTTTTGCAGTCTGTAATAACCTTCAACCTGCTGTATAATTAACCGTATCGTTCAACTTTCAAAAATAAACTAACAGTTGCTATAAATCGCGATCGCACGATGTACACGTAATAAGGACCAAATTCTCAGTTCTTTGAAGTTATTGTTCTAAGTATTGTCAATGCTTTGGTAAATACTTAAATAAGAATTCGATATAATCGTTATAATAGCCACTCTTCATACACAGCATATTGTCAATCTCTCACCAGGGGGCGTATTACGCCAACAGTATACAAACCATAGGAAGCGCTTTGCTGAAGTTACTGTTGTCGATAGGTAGCGCCTTGTGGAAATTTCCGGTTTTGGTTGCAGAAGGATAAGGTTACGTGCCATAAGCGATGTCGATAGGTAGCGCCTTATGGAAGTTTCCGGTTTTTTGGAGCCCATGCCATAAAGCGGTTAGCTAGCTAACCGCTTAAAAATGATGGGGATACAGCTATACTTTTTTAAACCAAACATTATTGATTATACGAAATGATTGCTTTTATTGCCAAATCTTTAAAACATGATCTATATCAGTATGCAAACTGAAAATTTTATAATATTATTAATAAATTTATTTTCCCATTTAAACACTTGAAAGTTGTCTAAATGAAGAGTTTGATATCTTTAAGAAACAATAAAATCGCAAAGTTTTGAATTCTGAGCGCAACTTCAAGAAAGTATTAAATATTTAAATTGGAAACTAAAGAAAAAATGATTTTTTTTAATATTAAGAAAAGGACATATTATGATGAAGAGGAACCATTTGGTCATTTTTTTTTTTGAAATCCTAACATGATCGATGAGTTTCATACCAGTATCCTTTATTCCATCTCCGGAAAAATTAAAACAGAAAGACACGGAGAAACACGGATTGAAATCACGACCGTCACTGCAAGAAATACCACTAGCGTTTAGAGGGATGCGGTCTGGGTTGGTTGTTATATCACAGTTGATATCAATGATATTTCTGGATCGTAGAATCAAAGCTGTATCCGATTTGTATGCCCCGACAGCAAAATCTAAAAAGGAGAAAAAAACTGTTGATAAATGTGTTAAAATGCTTAAAAGAGAATTTTATGGTGACATATTTTAAAAAATGTAAAGTAAACCTATGGCTAACATGAAAGATATAAAATTTTATGTGTAGATGTATTTACTAATAATTTTTGTTTTTTAAAAATTTGTTCCTATACAAATCAAGCGGGAAAAAGGCTAACAATGTTCTTGGATCCAACAAAACACATGTTGCCCTTGAACTCAACAAAGTGTGTTGACCACGAAATCACCAACATATGCTTAGCACTTGATCAGTACTACGTTTACTTAAATCAATCCGTTTTATGTATATCTTCTTTAATTCTTTACCATTATACATATTGTCATCTACATCCATTGCTGATCTTGATATATACCATCCGAATCCCTGAAGTCCTGGCTTTACACGGGATCCCGTTATTTTCTGTGAATACTTGTCTTCTAATCTAGTCTTCCCTCCATTGAAGATATAGACAGCCCCCTCAATATTCTCAAAAGGTGCTCCTATTGCTATATCTAAAAGAACAATTCCAAAAAAAAACCATAGCCTTCTATGCCTAATGTAGCCAAAGTATTTCAATTCAAAACAAATATTTTGTTTTTCATGCGCAACAAGCAACATTGTAAAATATATCCAGAAGACAAAAACATATTCAAGGAAAGAAAGAGTTTCAGTATGCCTAGTGGCCATTTCCTTTCCCAATATGGTGCAGTTCAATGTATACATTATGTAGAAGGAAGGAGAAAACCTTTTTTAAGACAAAACTTAACCTGATCACAAACCATTATATCCGTCTTTATTTATGTCACCAATATTGGCAATAGCAGTCCCGAATCTTGAGAAAGGAGAAAATGAACCGTGTAGTATTTGTGGCATATCATCAATTATCTGAAAAATAACAACAAAGAAATTTCCACTAATATTCTACAAAAAGATGTATTAAAAATGAAAAGGATTTATTATTATTTTATTTTTCCTTTATTGGAAAAATGCCATCATTTTAATTTCTTGCTCGTAGGACACGCCCTAAGATACAAAGAGTTTAAGTATTAGCATAAAATATTGTTACAATGTACATGTATGAGAGAAAGAAACGAAATCCGAAAAAAAAATTTATATAATTTTTGCTCATTAAACGAGATTTGTCTTACAGCTGAGGTTCCTGTGCCGTAATATATATAAACGGATCCGATGTCATTGAGAACTTTGTTTCCTTGATCATCCATAGAAAACCAATTTGGTGCCGCGACCAGGATCTCATCGTTTTTATCGCCATTAACATCAGCAATACACAGTGTCTGACCAAATCCTCCTCCAACCTTATTTTATACAATTATCATATGAGGGTTGTTACTATTAAATGTTCGTTTCGGTTCACAGAATATCATATTATGATATTTATAGCAATTGTATTTCGATTCGATTCAACAAAAATATAAATTCTAACCTGGTTTCCTTCGATCTGTTTGACTTGAACTGGAGGTGCACCAAGTATAAATACAGAGAACTGCAATGTGATGAGATAGAGTATTTATTAAGCAGTCGTTTACGTAGACACAATCTAATACTAAGGGAAAACATGCTATTGTTATAAATGAATTAATGACATTTTGTTTTGTCAAAAGAATTAACATAATGCATATAATAGATTAAGTCTTTGCTATTCATTTCTACCACCTACAGCGCCGATATTTCCGTTCTTATTGCTGAATCCAGGGGCGCCCACCACGAAATGAAACGGGTTTTGTCCCAATTGTCCTGTCGCAATGCTATAGCCTGTGAGGGTATTACATGTAATTGAAAAGATATATAAAAATTTCAAATATATCAATCTTTTTTGTTTGTTGTTATACATGAATATGCAAGAATACATTGGGGAAAACATATACTAGTAAAACCAAAAATTTAAATCATATTTTAAAATCTTTGATGTAGTGATTAGAAATATTTTTATCACAGAGATAATTATGCTCTTAGTAGAAATTGATATATTTTTTTTCTCATCCAAATAATTCAATTTAAAGGTCAAAGAACGTTTCGTAAGAAATTTTACATCCAAATAAATAGATATATTTTTTTTATTTTCATTTTTCAGTCAAAGCAATTCAGTTGTAAGAGCGCTTAAAACTATTATTTTAATTTTGTTTGTTATATATATATTTTACATACCGAATAATGACCCAGTTAAGTAGGTATTCTTTATAACCTCTGACCTCTCTACTTCCAGTTTCAATGACGTCACGCTTTTCAGTGTGCCATCATTTTTTCCCACAATGCCTCCTATATTGCAATAACGCTAAACTTAGTTTGTTCTGCATGAAAGAATAGCTCTTGAATTGGAACCAAAGAAAAACTATTGACGTACGAAAGTTACCAGGAAAGAAGGAAAAATATTTGATTTTTATTATGAAAGAGGAATTACACAATCATTATGTTCAGCTTCACCTGTTGAACTCCTTCCGACATTGGGAGCGCCATAAAACGTTTCAAAAACAGGAGTCTGAAAATTCATCAAAATGATTGAATTTTTCTTAAGATCAATATTTAATTTTAAGATTCATAAAAGCCATTAGGTACTAACGATATGTTATTTTCCATCTTTATTAAAGCGGCGGCTTAAACCTATATAATCATTATGTTTGTGTCACTTCTATTTTGACAGATACTGTATACAGGGTTATTTTCGCCCCGTCTAATTTTCGCCCTTTCACACTTGCAAACAATTTTGCCCCGTTTAAATTCGCCCAGTCATAGTTTTGTTTAAGAAATTGTACTGCATTCTTTGATTTCGCCCCGTTTTAAATTTGCCCAAATGAGGATAGGGCGAAAGGGGCGAAAATAAAACGGGACTGAAAATTTCCCTGTATACAGTATTCGCTGAAGAGTTCCAATTTTTCAGGCCTCGTTATGTAGTAAATGTTGACATTACTTTCATCAAATTTGGAATAAACTAAATTTTACCAAAGAAAAGGGACATTTTATTAAAAAGAAAACTCAATATCTATAATATTATATTATTATAATTATATACATGTATCAAGGCCAAAATAAAATAGCTTATTCACTTGACTTGTTTATTATTTAATTTTCCTTTAATTTATATTAACTCATATTTTAATTATTATTATTATTATCATTATCATTATTATTATTTTTATACATTTTATCGATATTTTGGGGGTTTAGTTTTACATGACTTTTTAAAAATAAAATTCCACCAGTATCATTTCACAACCTCAGTTCATACACTTAAACATCAATGTCTTAGTTGTAAGCTGAAATTTATTTATTTGATTAATTTATTACATGTACTTATATTTATTGATGTTATTTATATTATTTTTTGTAACTAACCTTGATATCGGAAAGTGAAAATCCAATTAGCGGTGCCTTGTAAAAGTCAAGAACATCAGGGGGAATTCGAAACTTGCTTACTTCCGGTTTATTCACCAGGTCTGACCTGTTTTTCAGAAGGAAACAATTTCCGGTCACTTGATAGTAGTCATCCACATTATCATTTGGATTGAAGAACCGCAAATTCTTCCAGTTTGGTGCACAGATCTGAAACAATTAATAAAAACTTTTGGTATAGAGTAAAACTTTATCAAATTATTTTGTTTTCATTGGAGAATATGATGTATTACGGTTTTTATCGTATGTTTAAGGTTAATTGATCTTATTAGAGAGTTAACTCTAAAAGGAATAAATGACGAATAAAACTTTTTATAAAATTTTAACATAAAAAGGCTATTTGTCTAAAAATTGTGCAGGGCAAACTCTCAAAAGAAGAGTTGGATTTCGTTTTTAAAAACCCGAAGGATTTAAAAAAAAAATATGAGAGTATAAGATGTGAGTATAAGAAATGGATGTTAAACCTTTTAAAAATACCTTGATGGCTTTCATCTTGTCCTCGGGTACAAGAATAGTTGCCCCTAAAAGTTGTTCCTTTTGTTCAAATACGTTCTGCGATTCATTTGCATGATTTTCTGTAACGAAATATTTGACAGAGAAAAAGAGGGAAAAGGAAACCCCTTTGTATACAGTATAACTTGCACACATGTAACGTTTAAGTATAATTTTTAAGTATTCAATCATTTTTGGTATACTAAATGATAGTCCATTATTTATACACTGAATTCACGACGGATTTTTCCGTTATTTCCCGATCATGACAAGAAGCACACGGCAAGTGTAACCAGTCAGGAGGGGATGCTCACTAATCCATGGCAGCTGATCCCACCTCTGATGATTTGGAGGTCCGTGTTTCCTCTGCTCGTATTTTGTATTGTTTTTTTTTTTTGGACTTTTGATCTTGAATACTTTTCGTTATCCCCATACGTTTCATTCAAAGAAAAAGAAATATGAAAGAAGAAATTCACCTTACCAAAATTTCTGTTGAGTTTTTAAATAACTCACCTCCTGTCCTCAAACTTGGTAAAACTATGCAACTGGACTGGGAATGGAAATCAATAGGGCATGCGTAAACATTGCCAGGATATGGAATTTCCGGTCTGTCGGTGAAATTATCTTTTGTAGCACCAACAAGTAGCCTAGAGAGAAAAAAATTAAAAATCTTGTTCTTTTTTTTTTACTTACAGTATAGTCAAAATTAATATATAAATAATGCATGTAGTTGAGTGTAACATTGAAAATTTTCACCCCAAGAAAACCATTGTCAACCGAGGCGCAGCCGAGGTTGACAATGGTTTTCGAGTTGAGTGTAACATTGAAAATTTTCACCCCAAGAAAACCATTGTCAACCGAGGCGCAGCCGAGGTTGACAATGGTTTTCGAGGGGTGAAAATTTTCAATGTTACACTCAACTACATGCAATATTTATTATATTATACTGAATGTTTTATACAAATACATATTACAGTGAACCGTGCGCGCATAAATTCCGCGCAGTCGCTATTTTTTGTAATACCACCCGTCGTCAAGCAATGTGGACTGTTGCTACGCAGGAGGGCGTGGCTTCATTATTCAGCGGGTAGTAGTGTTTTTTATCAAGTTTTTCTCGACAAATCAGATTCAAGTAATTTACATGAAAGTATAATATTGATACATATCAAATCCTTTATGGCCAGAAACATGCACGCCAACGATAAAAGGAATAATAGAATCATTTAGTGACAGGTTAATTATCGATATCTTTTAATTTAGCTTTATATTCATTGTCAAATAATATAAATACAATAAAATAAAATTTGCAACCTAAACGTGAATAATCATGTAGGTTTGTATCATGTACAAAGTTTTTTTTTTAATTACCAATAAAAGTTGCAAAATAATTTTAAATTGAAAATCTGACATACAACTACAATATATACGTAGGAATGGGAAGCGCCCATGGCAATTTTTAGTGTTCCAATAGCTCTATTCTTAGCGTAAACGTTTATTATGCGTTGCTAACTTCTGTGGTTTATTTCGTGATTATGAATGAACAGATATGTTTCTTTGGAAAATAAATTTTTCAAGAATCTACAAAATCATAATCAGAAATCATTGATTGTGATTTAGTTTGAATCTAACTAACCAGTAACGTAAATTTTGGCGATAATAGTAATGCCAGACTTAAATTTTACTTCAATTATTTAGATTAGACTTCATTTTATTTTATTGTTTTCTAGTGTTTCTTTTATATCTATAAATTAAACCTTGATAATTACTGTAAAAATTCCTATAATAAGGGCCCTGGGGACTGAAACCTTTGGAGTTATATCATATGATGGCAAAGGTGTAATCTCTCCAGGATCCTAATTTCTTTAAATCTTCGTTTTGAACAGTCTTACTTTTCTCTTTAACCTCATAACAATGCATATCTTACCTATGTAGGTAGGGACTGACCCAATCACAAGGCAGGATGTGTATTGATGAGGAACATAAATTATTTTTTTTTCTTCTTTCTCAATTTGGTTTAGCTATATCTGTGTGAATTTTTAATTTTCTAAACTTTCAAATTTATTTATTTATTTTTCATAAATTAATAATACAGTTAGTTATTTTTAATCTGACTCTATGGGTTAAACGTAGCGCTTGATTTATATTACTGTCATATGACTTTTATTTATTTATTTTATAATATTCACATTCTTTTTATTTTTGTTCTTCTTAATGCAATCATATTGCTTTCCAAGTTTGTCTTTTTTTCCTTTAACTAATTCTAAAAAAAAATTATCAGTTCTTAAAATTTGTTTAATTCTTAAAATTCGTTTTATCTGCCATATGTATGTGTATATATGTACATGTGTTTTTGCATGTTAATTCATGTTGAAAATGTTTTCTTGTGATATTTTAACTGTGATAGTCGGTTTGAGAGCTCTACAGAGCTCATGTTTCTTGTTATGCAATGTATACAATGCCGACTTTAAATAAAATTTACTTACTTACTTACTTACTTACTTACTTAAAACACTTACTTTTAAATAAGGTTTCCTTATATAAAGTTTACAACGACGTATACGTGGCAAAATGTTGCAATGCAGAAAATGAAAAAAAGAAAGAAAGAGAGGGTAAGAGAGAGAGAGAGAGAGAGAGAGAGAGTGAGAGAGGCTTAAGAGAAGATATACCGGAAGAGGGAGATATAGGTTAGGGAAACTTTCTGCCCTATTCCTATAATTCCTTGACTTCTTACTCCTTGTTGGAGTGGGGAGAAGATAACTCTCGCATACTTCAATCTGAAGATTGAGTGAGAGTTAAAGTATGAGAGAGGGGGGGGGGAGAGTGTGTGGGGGGGGGGGGAAAGAGTATGTGGGTAGAGTGAGAAAGTGGAAGGAGAGAGTGTGTTTTGAGAGTGAAAGAGTGTGGGGAGAGTGAGAGAGTAGAGAAAGGGTGTATGGGGAGAGATTGTGTTTGGGGTTGGGATGGGAATGATCAAAATCTGGAATAGGAGTGGGGAGCGATGGGGGTTGAACCGGAGACCCCAAGCACAAAAACAGTTCATCATACACCTCTAGGCTATACATACAGAATTAAAGAAATTGTACACAGTAAATCTCTATGACCTAAAGAGGATATCTTTCGATTTTGAGGTCAAAAGATCAAGGTCATAAATTGAAGAGGTCTGTTTGTCTTAAAAGCTTCTTGAGATATCGCTCGGAAATATAAGTTAAAACAGGCAGAACATTTTAATTTATTGCCTTGACCTTTGACCTTTTGACCTCAAAATCAATAGGGATTTACCTTAGGCCACGGAGAGTTATTGTGTAACATTTCATTGCAAAAACTCAAAGGCTTCTCGAGATACATGTACCTATAGCGTAGAAACGAAAGCGTTACGCACAGAATGCATCCGCTCATGACATTTTTTTAAATGTGAATTTTATGTCTAGAGCAGCATAGAAACAGAATCATCCTAATTAAACAGTGTCCTTAACATGTGTTTAATAGAGGATGTGTACGTAAAAAACGAAATTCTCTTGTAGCTACTCCGTATATTAATAGAAAACGCGGAACCACTTCAGAAATGCTTTGAACAGGCAGACTCATTTTTGTCTAACCTTGACATAAGAATGTGTGAAAACATCTGTGCAGCTTCAAATTGAAATTCTGCAAGGTTAAACTCTTCTGCTGCACGGGTTTTGCCGTGTAATCTGAGCGATAAAAATGTGATAGCATTCCGCGATAAGAAATAATCTGACTCCCGAATAGTTCAGTGTAGTATATGCCACTTATCTGATAGTCAAGAACGAGGGGGTAATTATGAGATTAGTTGACAGGCAGGATGCTGCTGGGGGAATTTTATTTCCGTTTTTATTTTCACTTTTCTGACAGTTCTCTCTGTCTCTCCCTCTCTCTCTCTCACTGTATGTGTACATGTACCTGTACCTTCTCTCTATCCTCCTCTCTCTCTCTGTCCCTCGCTTCGCACTCTCTTTCTTAGTCACTCTTTTGAATAAATAGCAGGCAGCATATCGACTTCTTTTTAAAAAAAATTAAAGGCATTAAATATTATCTACGCTTAAACGATAAATTTATAGAAACCTTGCAATACTAACTGATTACTCCTAATGGACCATTACTTTAGGGAATTCTAGGAGATATGTGAAAATTGGCACGAAATTACCCCATTACTTTGTATTTGTTTAAAAGGCTTAGCTTCTAAATCTACCAGGGTTTTATAAATTTGAATCTAAATTTCATTTAGCTTCAATTGCTTGTTTGTCTACAGAATAAATGATTTTGACCATTTTCCCACCATTCTAATTAATTCGTTTATCCTATTAGATTGTTATAAATAAAATAGAGACAGATACGTTCCGCTTGCTGATAACATCTATTTCTGTATGTAAATGTCTCTGAGTATAAACATCGGAAGAAGTTCTATAGAATGCTCTGTTCTAAAACTCTACTTTTTTTCACATACTGCATGTCTAAATGCTGTATAGCTTTTGAACGTGGAAAAATTAGCTACGATCGTTATAACAAGGAACTTACTACTCTAGGTATTCAAACTAAATGTCCTTCTTTTTGGCATATTAATGAATATTTCGTATTGTTTAACGAATTTTTGAGAATATTCACTGTTCGTATTCTGCCCATTTTTCACATGAGCATTGATTTGAAATAAGACATGTTTGTGCTGATTCAGTGATACTCTCACCAAAAGGAAAAGAAAACGATCTGCGAAGCCATGTATTGGAACATAGCAGGTTGTTTTTCTTACCATTTTTTAGAATCCACAACAATTTCAGCCGTAGCACCGAAATAAGATCCAGGTTTTCCATAGAAAATCAAAGGGCGCTCTATATCTACATTATAACATGTAACAACACTGAGCAAAGTCGTAAGTACTATAAACCACACAAATACACTACTCCAAAAACACAGTTTTCGGAAATTAGTGTACATAATCCAATTCATCTTGAAATTCCGTAGATTTTGGCGAGTGATGACCTCTCCAAGATAACGTTTAGATAAAATTCGACTAAGAATCAGAAAAATCTAGCCGCTTTTGAATTTGACTTTTTGGAATGAACACATCTTTGATCTTCCTACACGTAGTGTTTCCTACACGTAGTGTAAAGCATGAGAGCTAATTTCATCTGTGGTAAGGGGGGCACTCTTTACATTGAGAAAATTGCTTTTGAGTTGAATGTTGATTATTGTGTGTTGTTGACGTATTAGGTTTCTCATAAGTAGACACATATATTCCTTAGGAATGATACCGTGGAAGTCCTAAGTAGTTCTACATGTACTCGTTGCGAAACACAGCTAGAAAATCTAGAAACAATCACGCATTGTTCATATTGTTATAAAAATTTTGTGAAATAATCTCTTCACAAATGAGTAAGCGAGGATATAGAACAGGGGCGGATCCAGCAATTTTTGAAAGGGGGGGGGTCCAGGGTTATGCCGCTCTTACCCCCCCCCATACATATTCTCAAGCAAAGATTCACAGACGTGTATGGAAAGATCTAAGATTGTGGTAAATACTATCTTTGTTTTATGTCCTTTTAAAAAAAGCCTACCCCCATTCGGAACAAAACAAAATCAAAAAAAAAAAAAAAATCAAAAACTACGGAAGCCTTAAAATTGAATGGATTCGTATCACTTCCGAAGATTATAAAGAATTTTCTTTAAGAATTTGAAAAATCTTTTCGGGGTGGGGTGCGGGTGGGTTTTAAAACAAAGAGTTACATGTTAGTTCGTTCAATTGATCAAGATATTATAAAAACGGTATATATACAGCCAACACAGCCAAAGATCGCGGGAATCTAATATCAAATTAATCCTCGCATGTTACATATCATATACAAGATATATATAAAAAATGTAGAATATTTTCTACCATTCTCTCATACAAAATATAATAGAGGAGGTGATTGGAGGAAACTATTACTAAATGTGTGAGAATCTATCTATTCAATCAATAAATAAGACGTACAAACATATAATCTCGGAAAAAGTTTTATCCTCTCTCTCTCTCTCTCCACTTGGCAAAAAATAAAGGGAGGGTTCCAACCCCCGGAACCCCCCCTCTGGATCCGCCAATGTAGAAACGCAGTCGTACGTGTGCTTGTTCATGTTGTTTGTGGGTGTGTTTTGTTCCGTGCGGAACGGAAATGATGTCATTTGCATCGGAGTCGAAATCGATTGCTTTGGATCTCTTGATTTATAGATGTGATCTTTGTAATAGATGCCCCGCTTTGTGGTGTCCTTAAAAATATTTTATTTACAACCACTGAGTACATGTACATGTATCAACTCCCTTAAATCTAATGTTGTTTATCAATAAGTGAAGGCTAAGCAAATTTCGTGAGCAGTGGGTGTGGAATCAATAAGGTACCGGTACAATTATTGACATAATAATACATTATTTAATTTCTTAATCCTTCTTAAATGATTTTTATGTACCTGTTAGATACAATATTTAAACAATAAAATACCACCCCTGATCAGCTGTTCGATGTTATTTTACACACTTGGCAGAATTTCACCATAGAGTATATACAAAACCTTTATAAATCCATCCCAAAACGCATCATGGCATGTATACGATCCAAGGGACATTTAACAAAGTACTAAAGGTAAGCGTTTGTTTTGTTTTTGTTGTATTTGGGTGACTTTTATGTTGCAAGCGCGATAACTCTCAAATCACGTCCGCCATTTTTCCGCGAATACTTATGGCACGACGCTGTAGACAGCTAGACAGACGGACAAAAACTATGTACCCCCAAAACTTCGTTTACGGGGGCATAAAAACCTGCTCATCCACGATGAGTAATACACTGCTATTCTTCAATAACATGAATCGTATTTTTTAAGCGGGTAATTTTTTTCTGCAATAGCTGCAACGTTTAAAACCTTCTCATCCACGATGAGTAAAACACTACTATTCGGCAGTTACATGTATTTTTTTCCCCCTTATTTCAACATATGTCCCTTCCGCCGCATGCCAGATAAAAATCAGCTTTCACAGCAGAACTCCAGTTACGTCCGTTGCTTCCTACATCGATAAGAAACATATCGCCTTAATTTAAGGACATCCGCTCCACAGGCTTCACAAGCAGGATCAATAACTCCTTAAATCATTATTTTCAATTGAAAACGTTATCTCAAAAAGGAAGTTTCAAATTGAAAACCTTTCGTGCAGCGATTTTCATTTCATGCAACTTAATATCATTCAAGATTTTTAAAGAAGTATACAGTAAAAAGCCGTCAAAATGATAACAAGAGGCCCATGGGCCACATCACTCACCTAAGCACTGTAGCTTGGAAAAAAGCAGATATCAGTTTATTATTGAAAAGTTTAAAACCAAAAGTGGTTCCAACTAATCCTTAAAGGGAAGAGGGTATGATATGAACAAACTTGAATCTACACTAAGTAAGGATGCTTGCATATTTCTGTGTAGGTCTCACTATATATGCTTGTAAAATGACTTTAGTGTTAAGTAGTTTGATCAAGAGTTATGTTATGTAGATGAACTATTATGTTTATTTAGGATTAATGACATCATGAGCCATCATTCAGTATATATACACTTTGTACATGTGTACTTTATAACTGTTGTTTATTATTGTACTTTGTTCTTTGCAGATATCACTGCTGCCGTTTTGGTTTAATAACATTACAATAAAGTGTTGAACCTTCTAAAAGTCTTGTCACTTGGCTACAAAAGGTAAACATAATGCATCCATCCTCAATGCTTATTTTTTAGAAAAAATCAAGGAAGCAACTAAAATCAATGCAGTTAAACTTCGAATTAGATTAGTTTACATGACTATTAAAAATTTTTATTTTCAAGCTTCTGAATAAAACTCTTATAAATCTAATCAGCTGTCCTAAACAACTGTATTTTTTGTTTTATCTAATTCGAACATCTAAATTAGGTTTAAAAAATCTGAAAAGTTTAATAATATCACTTATCATATAAAACTGAGTCAAAAATATCTTTTTATACCAGACATCTCTTTATTATATTTTTACAGGCAATTTAAACCCTTTTCAATCCTATCCATGAATAAAAAAAATGAAATACATTTAAAAGTGTAAATCCATGATTATACTGAAACCAATAACTGGATATTCAAATACACTATTAAACTAGAGGTACTGTGAGCAATGAGCTCACTAAATGATAACCCCCGCCTCCCATATGAATATAATGGCAGTGTCCATGTTTTGCTCTGGAAAATCCAAAATATATGTCAGATCAAAAACTAAAATAAGAGGTGCACAATGGCAATATGTAATGAAGATTCTCTGAAAGTTTCATTAAATTTCCTTCAGTGGTATGAGAGGAGTTGCGGATAAGAGATGGGTACCCCAAAGCGTAAAAGACGGACGGACGGAAATACAGATTACTATATACCCTCCCACTTTTCAAGCGGGGGGTATAATGAAAAGAGGAACGCTAACAGTCAAACACCATGCAGCTGTGCATGATATGGAAGATATGGGGTCAAATACCAAGTACGCAAATAATTTTTTCATCAGACACCGACATGGAAAATAAAAACTTGAAAATATTTCCGCGAATTAAACTGATAATTGTTGCTAATTACATTTAACATCCTGTGGAACAGTTAAGATTGCCTACGGTCGCGGAGTTGCACATTCTTCCCCTCAGACCTTAGACAATGGCCCGGACATCCGTCAACATGCTTTTCTTATTTTGTCGACTTTTTAAAAATATGTAATTTAAACTTTCTTTGCAAAAAGGATTAAATGATTTAAGGTATTTTTCATTTTTTTTGCCTGTATGTTTGATTCAATTTAATGTTGTTTTTTTTTTAAAATTATTTGCTTATTTTTGTGTTTATAAGGATTTTACCCTCTTACTGTAATTTTGAACAAAGTACTGACAAGAGCATTTTCATACAAACATTGTCTCAATGCTTAGGTTTCATCTTGCAGTGCCAAATTTAATACACTATACATAAATTTAATTTGACTATATACTGCAAAACAAAGCGGAAACTAATCGTCTTTTCAATGATAAATTTCAATAGTAAACGGTTTGTTTGGATAAAAAAAAATAGGACCCTTGCCTGCACCATCACCTCACCTTTCTACCCCTGATGCATGTTTAGTTCATATGTTCTCTAGTACTCTCACTCTCTCAGTGCAAAATGGCGTATCTTCGCCTACCCTCCCCCTACATTGCACGTCTGTCATCACCTGAAATATATTGAGTATATTGGTTTATTTGTCTTTTTTTCATTACTTGGAAAATAATACAAATGATTTCAAAGAAGATATATCTAAATATGCTCCAATTACTAGTATTGCAAGACCGCTGCCTACCTACAGACGTGGATTTATTTCCTGCCCTGTTAATTTACTTGTAGGTTAAAATTAAAAAAAGAAATTAGATTTAACTTGAAAAACAGCTCAATTTTTCTCTCTAAAGAAAGTGATTTGTTTATATGACCTTGGTTTATAGGACCGGTCTCCACAACCCATAGTGTGTACCATTCAATGTTTAAAGTTCAAAAGAATATACATAAACGTCTATTTTACTACTTCAATTTACGTCATTGTACATTTCACAAGTGCTTGATTTCGATTGAAGACAAATGAAAATAAGTCGGCACTCTTAATTAAAGATTACAAAATCCAGAGAGCTGTTTTTTTCCTTTAAAACTTCCATGTTTTTGAAATACTATTAATCGTGTTTTGCAATTTACATCTATACGGTTGTTTATATCTAATTTACTTAAGGAATAAATGTTTCATTTTTTGGTTTCATGATGTGATCAATCGATTGGCTTGCATGATAATTTGCATAAATTAGTTTTGTTGTTTCATTAGTGTCAAAGTATAAAAGTTTTTTTTATAATGTATCGTCATTCTAGGTAAAAATGTATCTTATTAAATCTTTTAAAATTAGATAATCGAAATACGATGGGCAGTTAAGTAATGAGAGAGAGAGGTATTAAAATGGCCTTTTTGTCGTAATAAATGTTTTTGCTTATTTGAGGAATAACTGTCTTATTTTTCGAATTCATGAAGTTATCAATTTGGCTTGTGTGATAATTTGCATAAACGCCGAAGGCGTTTATGCATAAAATTATCACACAAGCCAATCCATTGATCATGATCATCTTCATGAATTCGAAAAATCTGACAGTTATTCCTTATATTTACATGCTTTGATTCCGCCAATCCACGGGCTCCAAGCCTGCTTCTCTCTAGGTGTTGTCCCGCCCTGCACGTGGTTTTTTTTTTTTGGAACCGCGCCAAAACATTCATGAGGAAATCAATTACATTTACAATTGGTAATTTTATCTCGGACAAAGACATTGGAAATGTAAATACTTGCATATTAAACTTCTTTCTGACACCGGAAAAAATGAGTTCATTTTTGTTTATGACATATTTTCCGGTGATGATAGAAGCTTTAATAAGTGTGTTTGTTAAAGAAAGTAGTTAGTGTACAGATCTGCTTCGATGTTAACCACACAATGATTGTTATTTCGACTAAAAGCAACTTTCCGGTTGAAAGTGTGCCCCTGCCTTAAGTACATGTATACATACGACCGTACAGTGTATATCTTTAAGTACATGCCATAATTGAGTTTTAGATCAATTAATATATAGCGTACAGTGTATTTTCTGGTCATCATGGTGTAGTGTTTGTGGACTAAAGCAAAATGGAGAGAGTGATGCCAGTTGACTTTGCAACGCTGATTTCATGGAGAGGGCTTTCTGTTTGGATGGTGATAATGCGGGTATTGTTGCTTGCGCTAGTACGAAGAAGCGCGTGTTACAACGTTGATACAGAACAACCGTTGATTTTTGTTGGAAAATCTGAATCTTATTTTGGAACAACGGCTGAAATTGTTATAGATTCTCAAAAATGGTAAGATCTTAATATCAACAATAAGTGTTGTGTTGTGTATATTTAATTATACTTTTATAAATTGACCTCAATGATAGTTGTTTTAATTTGTACTCCTTCATGTATATGTAGTTCAAAAGCAACAATAGTTTTTCAATCAGAAAAATGAATCATTAACAGTTTTTTTTAAGGATCAATAGATCAGTTATTATATACAACAACATGTTATATGTTCATCGTATATATATTTTCTCTTTTTCTTTCTCTCTCAAAAAATATACATTGATTATTTATCTCTAATTTTTTCAATAATAAATTGAAACTTAATGTGTTAACAATAACTGTTGAAGGAAATATATCTCTAGCCAGTGAACACTGTATTTATGTTCTCCTGTGTATCGTGGTTATCACTTGTATAGGGAACTGCTATTTCAATGTGACAAATAGTCAAAAAAATTTGCAAAATTCATCCAGCTGCACATGGTCGTTGACATCTCTGTTAAGCAGTGTATAAAAAATGTAAGCAGTTTATAATTTTATCATCCTTAATATTTTAAAAAAACAAGTTCCGGTAAAGAACATCTCGATATTCGAGCTTTAAAAAGCCCTTATCTCACAATTAATATATAATTATATGTTACATATGATAAGCAAAAGAACCGGAAGTTTGTAAGAGTTCAGCAGGGAATACCGGAAGTTTTTGCAGTATGCCCTCTTAAACATGTATGGTGTACATTGAAAAAAAATGCATGGGCGTGTATGTTTTTTTAAAGCAGTGAAAAGTTTAAAATTATTTGTTGTAAGGAAAATGTTAATTTCAATTAAGGTTTAGGTTTTCAAATTTGCGTTGTATGATAGATATTGGGCCTGGGTAATAAGAAATCTTTTCTTCTAGGACCAAACAAACATATTATAATGCATACAAAAATAAGATTTGCTCATAAAATATGGTAAAGATTGCCAGCAGATAGAATTGTCAACTAAGGTCATGATGAGGTTTCGTGCAATCATCTATTGCTACATCTGACCTTGTTTAATAACTTTATACGGTCTCAACAACAGTAGTGTTCGAACCCGCGATTCCTTCTGCGACTCTCTTTAACGACTGCACTTAGCGGTCAACTCGGCCGGTTGATTGCAAAATAGATATTGTTGGTATGATGTGGATGCATTTCATCTATATGGAGTACAATTATATTCGTTATAATATGAATTTTCATTAATTAACATGATTAACAAGTGTTTGTTAATTATTGAGTTATTACAGGATCCTCGTTGGTGCAACAAAAGACAATTTCACAGACAAACCGGAAATTCCATTTCCTGGAAACGTTTATGCATGCCCAGTTGATTTTCTAAACTCCAACTCAAACTGCACAGTACTACCAAATCTAAGAACATCAGGTATGAGCTTAAGCTCTTTTGAGCTACAAGTTGAGTTCTCTCCTGTTAAAGTATACATACAGGTGTTTCAAATTAGAAGGTTGCTTTTAATGTTTTTCATAATTTTTAGCTAGTTATACATAAGAATAGGCAAGATACCAAGGGGCTATGTAGGTCCCTGAGATACTTTATACATTATTGAAACGCACCACTTTTTAGTTCACCTGAACAATAGGCTCAATTGAGTTTTTCTGATCAAAAGTTGTCCGTCTGTCGTTGTCGTTGTTATCATCGTCGTTGTCGTAAACTTTTTCACATTTTATCCACTTCTCAAGAACCACTAGGCCAATTTTAACCAAAGTTGCCATAAGGTATCGTAATGTGAAAGGGGTTCAAGTTTGTTCAAACGAAGGACCACACCTTTTCCAAGGAAATTAGTGAAAAATTGATGGCATCCTTTAAAAGTCTTCTTCTAAAGAACAATTGGGTCAGGAATGATGAAACTCATGGTGAATCATCCTCATGGCTCCCAAAGGTAGGGTTGTTTTTTCTATTTACATATCATAATATAATAAAGCACCACCTTCATATGAAATTACCACAGCATAGTATAATAAAGCACCACCTTCATATGAAAAAACACAGCTTAATATAATAAAGCACCACCTTCATTTGAAATAAACACAGCATAATATAATAAAGCACCACCTTCATATAAAGTAACCACAGCATAATATAATAAAGCACCATCTGCTCACGAAATAGCCACATAAGGCAGCTATTGCGTTTCATACCTAGGGTTAGGGCTTAGCAATACTATGAAAATTCAATTTGTAAAAAAAAAAGTCATAGTCAAAAAATATGTAAGCATCCTTTAAGTTAGTTTTTGTCCCCCGCTTGAAAAGTGGGGGATATTAATTTGGTGAGCAGTGTGGTCCATGGTAACGCTTTCGTTTCCACACGATATCTCGAGAACCCTTTGAGCTTTTGCAATGAAATTTAGCATACCAACTCCCTATGGACTAAAATATTGATTTTGAGGTCAAAAGGTCAAAGGTCAAGGTCATAAATAAGCAAATTCTGTCTGTTAAAACACTTTCGTTTCCACACGATATCTCTAGAACGATTTGAGCTATTGCAATGAAATTTTACATAACAACTCCCTGTGGCCTAATGAATACCCCTATTGATTTTGAGGTCAAAAGGTCAAAGTTCAAGGTCGTAAATTTATACATTTTAACTGTCTGTGTGTAACACTGTCATTTCCGGGTGAAAATTTCAGGAAGATTTTGAGCTTATGCAATGTATTTTATTCCCTAACCTCTCTCGCCCCTCTCAAAGTGCCCCGCCCCGTTTGTTTTATTTAGTATTTATAGTATTACATGTCGCTATTTTTAGCGCAGGGGCATGAGGAGAGTTATTGCGTATAAAACAGGTTCTCGGCGGACTTTATGTTCTTATTACGTCTTTTAGAACTGTTTAATAAAGGCTAAATAAATCAAACACCATGGATTGTGTAAAATTTTGACAATACCGAACATGAATATATACATGTATGTGACTTTGAACAGTTCTGCATATACTTGACATTGCGTAGAGCGATTCCGTGGTCTAGTGGTTATGTCTATCGCTTCACATGTGAAAAAAAAATGTCTATCGCTTCACATGTGAGAGGTCCCGGGATCGAATCCCGGTCGATCCTTTCTTCTTTTTTTTTTAAATACTTTTTTTTTTTTTTTTACTAAATGATAGTATTCATGCAGCATGTGAAATGAAAAATTTATGAGGTTATAAAATCATCATTACAGTGTGATAAATATTCCATATAAAAAGAATCTTCTATACACATAATAAAGAATAAGCAATCAAATCTTTATATGCATATTGACATACATGTATTTTGTTTGCCTCAGTATACATGTATACATTTAATAATTCTACAAATTCAGTTAGGGGAATCCGACTTTTTCCCTAAGCGGGGGACACGAATTCTCTGAATTAGCTTGTTTTCCTAGCCAATGCTCAGGTGAGCAGTGTGGCCCATGGGCCTCTTGTTTATTATAATTTTAGCTCAAAATTTCACATTATGTATAATGTATGAATATTTTTTGTCTTTAAACTTTGTTTGATTAAAAACTTAATTAGAACAATTCAAAGTTAACCTTGAACTCTCAGTAAGGCGAGGCATTCTGGACGTTACATAATTAGCGTCTGAAATTTACCCAGTGAAAATGTCAAAGAGTGTAGTAGCAAATATATTCTAACATTGTCTCGTACGGCAAAGAGGTGGGGCTTAAGTCGTCTCATCGTTGTTAACTATAATTTAAAGGTCTGATGTTATTGATTTCTTAACCAGAGACAATCTATTAGCCATTTGACAGACGCTAATTACGTAGTGTCGAGAATACCACGCCTTACTTACTAAACGACTAGTTTTAACTTTTAAATAAGATAGAATAAGCCTTCACCAGCATTAGTTATGTGCATCAATTTTAAGACTTACAAAAGAATTTGATATACAGCAATCCAAATACAGCTTGATAGAGGTCTGTAGCAACGGTTTTTCATGGAGGGAGGGGGAGAGTGGGATCCGAAAAAAAGAGTACTACAGAGCTGTGCTACACGTGTACCATCAAATCTATTTTCCAATGATAAATTTCTTCCGTATAAATCCAGAATAGATGTCAAGTCCCAGCAGTTATGGGTTACAGTGGGTTGGTTTTAATGATAAAACTAAAGGCTAATCGGAGATAAAATTTTACAATTTTCCTATGAGAGTACTATCAGTCAAATAAGGCAGATCATTGTAGAAAATGCTATACATGAATATTGTGTAAATTTAATTCTGAAATTGAAATTCGGTTAGAAACACATGCATATGGTCCACGTATTGCAGTCCACGTATTGCAGTCCCTTTTTAAAAGGACAGCAACTTGTTTTGTATATATGTTGAACTTGTATTGAAATGTCATCCGTTAAGGGGGCCACAAAACATAGTCGAGCTCATTTAAATTTTATGGCCAACATGCCAGGAATACTTATACAACTAGATTGCGGGAATTTATTTTAAAAAGGAAACTAATACGTGAAAATTAATCCGTCTTTAAAAAATATGAATTATGGGTGCCTATATTAATTAAAAACGAATTTCACTCGCAGGAAAACATCTTTTGGTCAATTGCAATCACTTTCCTTAGTTTTGATTTGAGACAAATCATTTTCTCTCGTAAATATATATTTGTAGAAGCTTATGCTAATGTATCAGAAGGTGTTTTTGAAGAATCTGATCAGATGTTAGGAGCCAGCATTATTGTGCCAGAAAATTCAGCAAAACCAATTAAGGTAAACGAATTGCTTATTCACGTTATTGTAGACTGGTTTTTGAACAAGCTCGAATTCATTATTTGGACATAACAAACAGTATTCGAGCTAAAAATCCGTTTAACATAACAAAGAGGAGCGGAGCAAACACGGACCTCCAAAACATCAGAAGTAGGATCAGATGCCATGGAGGAGTGAGCACCCCTTGCCGACCGGTCACACCCGCTGTGTGCTACTTCTCGTGATTGGGAATTTAACTTATTTTCTAAAAATAATCTTTAAGATTTTTGTTTTTGTTCTTTAATAGATTTGTGCTCCGAAATGGAAGAATTTGCGATTCTTTAGACCGGATGCTGAGGGAGACAATACTTACCAGGTCACCGGAAATTGTTTTGTTTTGAATGACAGATCGGATCTTATAAACACCGCCAAGACCCTAAGCTTCCGGATCCCCAAGGATGATTTTGATTATTACAAAGCGCCTCTAATAGGGTTTTCTATTGCCGATACAAAGGTAGGATTTATGCATCTGTAGTCGAAGATTCGAAGGCATAATTATATTTTTAGCTATGGCCAAGATGGATTTTGTTCTTACTGAAGTGGAACAAATTTCGAGTAATTAAAAATTCCAAATATTTGACATTTTCTTGAAATTATAAAGGGCACTGAATAAATCAGAAGGAAAAGAATTAAGAAGTATTAAATTAGGAAACAAATGTTGAGGAACATCCACAGGTCTAAAACATAATTCTTTATGTTTTTCCTTAACATGTATAACCTGTATCAGAACGCTCATGGAAAGTATATTTCGTTTGTTTATCATAAATTTCAAATATTTTTTGATTACAGATACGCGTTTTTGACACCCTTTATGGTGCCCCTAATATTGGAAGGGGTTCAACAGGTAGGATACACTTAATTGGTAATATAACTTATTAAAATTCAAAACATCCCGTTGGAAATGTTTAAAGGTAGTAGGTTCAAATCTGTTTTGACGGAAAGGGACTAATAAATTTTCCTGTTGATCTAAATGAGATTGAAATAACTTTTTGCAGGGGGTCTATTGGCAAAGAATGATGGTAATGTAAGAAACGCAAAAAGTATGAAATTAGAAGTGGAAAGGTCAAAGGTTGTACAGGACACTTATTTAACTGGATCACTATTTGGTAAGTTTTTTTTTCTTACCAAAAAAAAAAAAAAAAAAACCTGAATGATTAAATACTATATATTCAGTTCACTTTTGAGAAGCGCCGACTTTTGCACCCTTTACGCTATTTTCGGAAATACGACATTGCTTATATTTAAGGACAGAAGATACAAACAAATTTTTTCTTTGGATTAGATTTGAAAGCATGTCACAAGTTTAGAAAAGTGGATAAATCTTAGAATTTTTCCTCCTAAGAAGTGAAAAATGAAATAGACTTGGAAGACATTACTAATATTTCAATAAAAAAAAACAAATATAGACAAATAACACTGAGTAAAGGTTTACAGATGAAAACAAATTTCAGAATATGTTACCTTGGTGCTAAAAGTGTAATACAAACTTTAGAAAAATGTACCAAGCCAGGTGAATTTATGAGGAAATACAAAATTACAAAAAATCAGCAATAAATCATAGGCTGATTTTTACCATTTTGCTTTTCCTTATAAAATTCACCTGGCTCGGTATATTTTTCAAAGTTAAAAATACACTTTTAGCACCAAGGTAAAATATTCTGAAATTTGTTTCCATCTGTAAACCTGTACTGAGTGTGTTTTGTCCATATTTGTAATTATATTGAAAATAAAATATTACTAATATTTTCCAAGTCCATTTAATTTTACAGTTCTTAGGAGAAAAAATTCTAAGAATTATCAATTTTTTTGAACTTGTGACCTGATATTAAGTCTCTTCCAAAGAGAGTTTGTATCATCTGTCCTTAAGAATATATTTATATTGCATATCCACTGCTCTCTCCCACTATGAACATGTCGACATCACCTGCGTTCACAACTGCTTCTACTATGAGTGCAATTGCTATATCACACTCGTGTAGAACAAGCTCTACTATACTTATATACAGTGTTGAGAAGTATATATATGAAATGTTTCGTAAGAGGAATAAATACAAGTTTTTAATAATATTCTTTTTAAAAAAATTCAGAATATTTAAAACTGCTGATTTATATCTTTAAGAATTCAATTTTGGTCAATATATTTAATTGTATAATAAAACTTTTTAAAAATTGTAGAGAACTACCATATTTATATTTTTTTGTATCATGCATATCTGTACAAAGAACGATTACTTCACTCTTGGGTAATAACATTCAGAAAGAGAAAATTTCTTTAACTAGCATATCTATTTCAAGAATGATTTCAGCTACTAAAAATAAATAGAAAAACTAAAAAAAAAATCATAGAAAAGCATTCTGGAGTTATAATCATTATAAAAGCATTCCCATTTTTCATCATAGTGTTAAATAATAAATTTTTGTCAGAGGGTTTCAATAACGTTGACCGATGACGTCAAAACTGCATCAAAACAAAAATTAAGTGAATGTGATGACGGCGCTGCTTGTATCCAGATAACTGTGTTTGAGAGGGAAACACTTTATAGAATGTTTGTGATTTATTAGAGAAAAGGAGCATTGATCAGGTGTACTGATTTTAAAGCCGTATGATTTTCTTTACTGAAGACAAGAAGCTGCGTCCTTATGTAAGTCAGGATTTCCTCTGATATTCTTGAAAAGCATCAAAGAATGCAAAAATAAGTAATAAACAACGATTATTGATTGAAGATGGCATTATGAATAGCAATAGTTCTGCTGGCATACTTTCCATGATGTGCTAGCGCGCATCATGGAATATGCCAGCAGAGCAATTGCTAATCATAACGCCATGTTCACTGAATAACGTTGTTTATTTCTTAAATAATTTAAGAAAACCGTACAAGAGTGGCTATAGGTTTAATTTTAAGTACAACTAGGGCTAATTGTAACGGGGACCGTTACAGATGTTCCCCAAACGCTCCCCAACTCCCTTTTGGTGCCATATTCCCTGTAAGTTCTATTAAATAAGACATACTTTATGCAATTTAGACTTAAACAACGTTTTCCAAGAAGAATACAAAATATATTAAAATCTTAGCATTACACGCGTGCTCATGTGAATGCCTGTGCGTCATGACCATTTCATCTTGTGTACACTATCTATATATTTTAATATACTTAATATCAAAGCATTTAATCCAGAAGTATTAAAAAAATACACTCATTTAAGCGTATTTTTAATTTTACTCATTTCACGTGCACACACGTGCATGCATGTGGATGATGACCATACCTTCTTGTAGGAGTTCATTATGTCTATCTATATTCTAAATCCCATCCTGTTTGGTTGAAAAACAAGGGAGTTATAGCCATTTAAAGTTTAAGCCAATCAGATTGCTGCGCACGTGCATGCGCATGTTTACATGATAATTGTTATATATCCTATTGTAGGACATCCTAAAGTATGTCTATGTTTTAAATTTCATCGCATTTCGTCAAAAAACAGAAAAGATACTGGGATTTTTGTTTCAGCCAATCAGAGCAAAGCGCACGTGCATGCATGTGCATGATGACCATACCTTCTTGTAGGAGTTCATTAGGTCTGTCTATATTCTAAATCCCATCCTGTTTGGTTGAAAAACAAGGGAGTTATAGCCATTTAAAGTTTTAGCCAATCAGATTGCAGCGCACGTGCGTGCGCGTGTTTTCATGACAACTGTTATATATCATATTGTAGGACATACTAAAGTATCCCTATGTTTTAAATTTCATAGCATTTGGTCAAAAAACAGAAAAGATATTGAGATTTTTGTTTCAGCCAATCAGAGGGCAGCGCACGTGCATGCGCGTGAGTTCGTGCTAATTTGACAGTGTCACATTATCTACACTATTAAGATATCTTTATATAATGAGTTTCAAATCATTTCATTAAAAAATGTAAAAGTTATAGCTATATTAAGTATATCAGTCATTTCACTCTTATCACGCGCGCGCACGTGCATGCGTATGCGTGCAAAATGACCTTCGTTCCGCACACCTACACTACACACCTATTAACCCTAAAAAGGTTTTAGGTCAGTTGGGTGAACAGTTTCTGAGAACACTCGCGGACAAAAAAGTACCGGAGAACAAAGAAGAAAAAAAAGAATAATAATAATAATAACTAGTGCTAATTGTAACGGGGACCGTTACAGATGTTCCCCAAACGCTCCCCAACTCCCTTTTGGTGCCATATTCCTTGTAAGCTTCATTGAATAGGACAAAATCTATGCATTTGAGACTTTAACAATGCCAAGTTCAATCAAATTTTAGCATTGCACGCGTGCGCATGTGAATGCATGTGCGTAATGACCATATCATCTTGTCTACACAATCTATACATTTTAATATACTTAATATTAAAGTATTTAATCCAAAAGTATTTAAAAACACGCTCATTCAAGTGTATTTTAGATTTAACTCATTTCACGTGCACGCACGTGCATACATGAGCATGATGTCCATATCATCTTGTAGACGTCCATTACATCTCTCTATGTTCTAAATCCCACTCCGTTTGGTTGAAAACCAAAGCAGTTATAGCTGTTTAAAGTTTCAGCCAATCAGATTACAGCGCAAGTACACGCACGTGTATGCATGTGCATGGCGACCATATCATGTTATAGAAGTTTATTATATCTATCTATGTTCCAAATCCCATCCTGTTTGGTTGAAAACCAAGGGAGTTATAGCTATTCAAAGTTTAAGCCAATAAGATTGCAGCGCATGTGCATGCACGTGATTTTATGACAAATGCTTTATATCATGTTGTAGAATATATTAATGCATGGCTAAGTTCCAAATTTCATAGGATTTCGTCGAAAAACAAGAATGATATAGATACTTTAGTTTCAGCCAATCAGAGCAAAGCGCACGTGCATGCGAGTGAGATCTTGCTATTTTGACCATGTCATCATGTCTATACTACTAATAAATAATTAAATTATGAGTTTCAAAGCATTTCATCAAAAAATAAAAAAGTTACGGCTATATCTATTATATTGGTCATTTCACGTGTTGCACGCGCACGCTCTTGCAAGCACGTGCGCGCAAAATGACCTTGATTCCACAAATCTACATAACATGTCTACTGACCCTAAAAAGGTTTTACCTACATCGGATGAACAGTTTACAAGATCACTCCCGGACAAAAAAGTACCCAGGAAGAAGAAGAAGAATAATAATAATAAGAAACAGAGTAAAAACAATATGTTCCCCAACTTCGTTTGGGGAACATAACTAGTGCTAATTGTAACGGGGACCGTTACAGATGTTCCCCAAACGCTCCCCAACTCCCTTTTGGTGCCATATTCCATGTAAGCTTCATTAAATAGGACAAAATTTATGCATTTGAGACTTTAATTATCAACGCTAAGTTCATTTAAATTTTAGCATTGCACGCGTGCGCATGTTAATGCATGTGCCTAATGACCATATCATCTTGTCTACATAATTTATAAATTTTAATATACTAAATATTAAAGTATTTAAACCAAAAGTATTAAAACATACGCTCATTCAAGTGTATTTTTGATTTAACTCATTTCATGTGCACGCACGTGCATACATGAGCATGGTGACCATATCTACTTGTAGAAGTCCATTACATCTATCTATGTTCTAAATCCCACCCCGTTTGGTTGAAAACCAAGGGAGTTATAGCTGTTTAAAGTTTCAGCCAATCCGATTACAGCGCATGTACACCCACATGTATGCATGTGCATTGTGGCCATACCTTCTTGTAGAAGTTTATTAAATCTATCTATGTTCCAAATCCCATCCTCTTTTGTTGAAAACTAAGGGAGTTATAGCTATTTAAAGTTTAAGCCAATCAGATTGCAGCGCACGTGCATGCACGTGTTTTCATGATAATTGTTATATATCATGTTGTAGGATATCTTTATGCATGGCTATGTTCAAAATTCCATAAGATTTCTTTGAAAAACAAGAAAGATATAGAGACTTTAGTTTCAGCCAATCAGAGCGAAGCGCACGTGCATGCGCGTAAGATCTTGGTATTTTGGCCATGTCATACTGTCTATGCTACAAATATATCCTTATATTTTGAATTTCAAAGCATTTCATTACAAATGTAAAAAGTTACGCTTATATCACTAAAACCGGTTATTTCACGTGTTGCACGCGCGTGCTCTTGCAAACACACATGCATGTACGTGCTTTTATGAAAATTCTTGTTAATCATGCTGTAGATCTTCATAATTTGTGACTAAGTTCAAAATTTCAAATGATTTTGACAAGAAACAAGAAAGATATTGAGACTTTAGTTTCAGCCAATCAGAGCGAAGCGCACGTGCATGCGCGTGAGATCTTGCCATATTGACCGAGTCATCTTGTTTATACTACTAATATATCCTTACATTATGAGTTTCAAAACATTTCATCAAAAAATAGAAAAGTTACGACAGTATACATTATATTGGTCATTTCACATGTTGCACGTGCGCGCTCTTGCAAGCACGTGCGCGCAAAATGACCTTCGTTTGGCAACTCTACATAACATGCCTAATGACCCTAAAAAGGTTTCACCTAAGTCGGATGTATAGTTTACAAGATCACTCGTGGACAAAATTTTCCCAGGAAGAAGAAAAATAATAATAATAATAATAATAATAATAATAAGAAACAGAGTAAAAACAATATGTTCCCCAACTTCGTTTGGGGAACATAACTAGTGCTAATTGTAACGGGAACCGTTACAGATGTTCCCCAAACGCTCCCCAACTCCCTTCTCGTGCCATATTCCCTGTAAGTTTCATTAAAGAAGGCAAAATCTATGCATTTAAGACGTAAACAACGTTTTCCCAAATGTATACCAAGTATTTCAAATTTAAGCAATGCAGGCGTGCGCATGTGATTGCATGAGCGTTATGACGATATCATCTTGTCTACACTATTTTACTCATTTGCACGTGCACGCACGTGCATGATGACCATACCTTCTTGTAGGAGTCCATTATGTCTGTCTATGTTCTTAATCCCATCCTGTTTGGTTGAAAAACAAGGGAGTTATAGCCATTTAAAGTTTAAGCCAATCAGATTGCAGCGCACGTGCATGCGCGTATTTTCATGACAATTATTATATATCATATTGTAGGACATCTTAAAGTATGCTTATATTTTAAATTTCATACCATTTCGTCAAAAAACGGAAAAGATATTGAGATTTTTGTTTCAGCCAATCAGAGCGAAGCGCACGTAAATGCGCGTGAGTTCTTGCTAATTTGACAGTGTCACATTATCTACACTATTAATATATCCTTATATAATGAGTTTCAAAGCATTTCATCGGAAAATGTTAAAGTTATGGCCATATTAAATATATTAGTCATTTCAGTCATTTCACGCGCCCGCACGTGCAGGCGTATGCGCGCAAAATGACCTTCGTTCCGCACACCTACACAACACACCTATTAACCCTAAAAAGGTTTTAGCTCAGTTGGGTGAACAGTTTCTGAGAACACTCGCGGACAAAAAAGTACCGGAGAAGAAATAAGAAGAAAAAAGAATAATAATAATAATAATAAGAAACAGAGTAAAAACAATATGTTCCCAAACTTCGTTTGGGGAACATAATAAGAAACCGAGTAAAAACAATATGTTCCCAAACTCCGTTTGGGGAACATAATAACGTGTTTAACGGTATTCAATCAACAGAAAGAAAATTGGAGGCAGAGTGATACATGATTAGTTAAAATATTTCTTCTTTCTTTCTCATTTTTTGAGAGAAACGTATGAGGATAAAAACACTATGGAAGGAAAAATTTGCAAGAGTTGGCCAGATGGGAGCCAGTGGGAGATTGCGTCAAGATTAGGATTCGTTCCCTTCCTATAATAACGTAAAATGTGCTTTGACATGATTTATTGTATGGTTTAAATAAATGTTAGGCTAAATATCTATATAATCATAAAGCTTTCGTATATTGTCCTACTGTAAAAATAAGCCGTCTATTATAAAAGTCAGCTCCTCTCGCAATAGTCGACATTCCTGATTGCAGTAAGTGTAACCATTGAATTAAGTTGTATTTGTTCATGTCTGTAAAAAAAAATTATAATTACTGATTATGATCAATCTAACACTTATAAATTGATATATATTTACTCGATATCCCTTTAACTTAGCCTAGACTTAAAAAAAATAATCCCACAAGAAGCTCAAGTACAAGCATCTAATAAATAAATTATTGATAATATTAATGCATTCATTTTTAGGATACAGTATTGCACCGGGTAATTTAGGAGGGGTTACCCAAGACAAAATTAATTTCCATTTCGTTGTCGGCGCTCCGGGATTTAGTAACAAGAATGGAGTTATTGGGGCTGTAAGTAAATACAGTGAAACCTGTCTAATCCGAATGCTGTGTATTCCGAAATCCTTCCTAATATAAGGTAATATGTTAGTTCCTAACAAGGAAATACATTTTTCTATTTCTACTGATTTCTAAGCGAATGTTTTTAGTTTTCAGTTTTGCAATTCGGAACTGCCTTTCAACAAGTCAAGCAGATTGAAGGAATGCAGGTAAATGGAGTAAATTCATCTATTCATTCCAATTCAAATATTCTAAAACATTGTATTTATTTTAAATAAAGCATCATAATATTGATTAAAAATTAGGTTGGAGGTGGATTTGGTCAAACACTGTGTATTGCTGATGTGAATGGCGATAAAAACGATGAGATCCTGGTCGCGGCACCAAATTGGTTTTCTATGGGTGACCAGGGAAATCAAGTGATTTATGACGTCGGAGTAGTTTATGTATATTATGGCACTGGATCAGCATCGGTAAGATAAAATTCATGTTTAATTGTATTTATTTAACTTAGAAATATAAGGAAAATATTAAAAGCAACACGCAAATGATGTTTATAGCATTTATATTTTTAATACCAGTATAATAGTTTCATAATGGTACTTTCTCTGAGATATTCAATCCTCTCTATAACCTTTATATAAATAAATGCTGATCCAGCAATAAATGATGTCTGTTAACAATATTTCATGAATAAATTATTCATCAATTGGTTCCGGCTTTTTTTTAAGTGTAGATAACTCGTTCCATTATTATAAGCTGCAATGCATTTACTTGTATGATAAAAATTAATAATAGAACAACATAAGCAAACGTGTATTTATTTTATCCTATTTGACATTCATCAAATAACTTTTATTAAGTACATGTATTCACTGTTGTAGATAATTGATGACACAGCACAAGAGATTCGCGGCTCTCTTGTACGATTCTCGAGATTCGGAACGGCAATTTCTAACATTGGTGATATAAACAAAGATGGATATAATGGTATGTCAAATAGTCATAACTGGTATAGAAATAAATTAAGGGGAGATTTTGTCTCCTTTTGACTATAAACAAAGATTGATATAAAGGTATTCTAATAGTCAAAACTGGTACAGTAATAAATTAATTGAGGTTTTTGACTAGCTCCTTCTATTCTCCTTTTCTTATTTTTAGTTTTTATTTATTATTTTAACTTTTTTTTATTAATCTGTCTTCTATCTTTCAATGCAAAGCATTTAAAAGATTTGTTTTGGTATAATTGTACAAACTTTTGATAGAAAAGGTAAACTAAGTTTAAAATATATAGGAGGCACCATAATTTTTGTGGATCAGGGCTGATGAAAATATTTCCTTTTCTGGTTGTCATAATAAAGATAGAACATTAAAGTAAGTTAAAAGTTTAAACCAATCAAAGACGTAAATGAATGTCATATTGTAAATAAAATCAACAATTATGGATTAAAAGTTTTCAAATAATCCATATATTTGAGAACGGAATACAAAGCATATAGTTACTAATAACTTACATTTCTTCAAAATATAAGAAAAGAAGAAGAAATTCGGATACGTAAATATCTGAGTCAATACCTTATTTGGTTATTTTATTAATAACAATTTGGTAGTATCGTCTGAAAAACTATATATCATTATGATAACATGAAAAAAAAAACATCTTTAGAATTAGAAATCAGATGATTGGCAACAGTATTTTTATAATTCTTAATGTCAAGGAAAAAGATGATGACCTTGACATTTTTTCCATCTTGAATCTATGAAAATTTCATTAATTTTTTAATATGAGATATAAAAACCCCTTCCATAGAGAAAAAAAAAAATCTCTGAAAAACTTAATTTGTTGAAATGGATTTTTGAAAATATGTTTTTTTTCTTAAAAGTATTAAGGCAGTTTGGCCAATTGTGAGAATGGAACAAATTTAAGTAAATCTAATTTAATTCAATTCAGGATATTTAATTAGTTATGAATTATTAATTAATTGTTAATTGTTTAAAACCAAGTCGACAATTTTTCAGCCATTTAAAGACGAAAAGTAAAGTTTATTAAAACGGTGATGAATGGATTTTGGTTTCAATGGTGAATCAAAGCGGAGCTACTCTTTATTAAATCCAGATATTTGTTTTGTTCAGTGAAATAATCAATATTTCAATGAAGTGCCCCAGAAACTTAGAAATACGAAAACCAATTTATTACTTAAGTTTAAAATTTTCCAATTCTTAACTATACAGATGATGTATTTGGAGATAACGAACAGTATTCAAGCTCAAAAGTCCATCAAACAATACAACATTGCAGCAGAGCAAACACAGATCTCCAAATCATCAGAGGTGGGATCAGGTGCCTTGGAGGAGTGAGAATTCCTTACCAACCCGTCACATCTGCCCTTTGCTTTTTGTCATGATCTGGATGTAAAGGAAAAATCCGTTGACGAAGTGTGTATATAATGGCCTAACAATTTGTATGAAAAGCGTCAGTCAGCTATCACTTCTGCAGTCAAAGAGGCCTCTTTCTTTTGTAAAATCAATATATTTTTTGTTAACTAGATATAGCAATAGGAGCTCCGTTTGAGAACAAAGAGGGGGCTGTGTATATCTTCAATGGAGGGAAGACAAGATTAGAAGACATGTACTCACAGAAAATAATAGGATCCCGTGTAAAGACAGGACTTCAGGGATTTGGATGGTATATATCAAGAACAGCAAGGGATTTAGATGACAATTTGCATAATGGTAAACATTTCAAAATTCAAATTACAAATCAGTGATTGCGGTGTTTCTTTTATTTTATCTTAAGATTTCGATGCTAGTATCTACAGAAATTTGTTTAATTAATGTATTTGTAGATTTCGTTGTGGGTGCCTACAGATCAGACACCGCTGTGTTGCTAAGGACCAGAAATATCATTGATGTCAACTGTGAAATATCATACACACCAGATCCCATTCCACTGAACTCGAGTGGAACTTTCTGCAATGTTGATTTCAATCCATGTTTCAATGTCTCACTTTGCTTCAATTTCACTGGGGAAGGAATTAATAAAACAAGTAAGCAAGAAGTAGTAAAATGAAATTGATCATTCTTTATTTTGATAAAAGATTTTTTTTATTTTCACACATAGTAATCATAGAAAAGGAAGATGGCTACTTTGCTTCACAGACTGAAACTTTGCTTCATGATTAAAAAAAATAAAACTAAAAGGTAAAAGGAATAAAAAGATATAGTTAACAGAAGTAGTCTTTTGATGAATGAATTAATTTTACAGGGAATTAACATATAACCCATCTCAGGGTTGCATTTTGACAACTTATGTGAAATAACAATCTAAGTATTTTTATTTTAATGTAAATTTAGATACAGAATATCCCATCACCTTCAACAAAACAAGGAGCATATCGTAATGTGACCAGTCATTTAGGAATACTTAATCGTAGAAGTCATCTGATACCTCTCTTTTTTAAAAGGATCCCTGCATGTGTTAAGACATGTTAACAAATCCGTACTGCTTTTAATTTTTTCAAAGACGGAATTTTCTTTGTTATATTACAATTCACCCTTTTTTAATTCAACAACTAAATAAAGTTGTAGTCTGTGATCTAATTAAGCATATGATTTGAATCACGTGTAAGTCTTTTTGTATGATATTGTAGAGAAAACGTTTGACAGAGTTTGATAAATAACAAAGTGACCCATTATAGCTCGTATTTTCGTTAGACATTGATTTTTCCATAACCATTGATGCCAATGAGACGAGGAAAAGGGCAGCAATGACAAATGGGAGTCACAGATTTGAGGAACTAACTGTCCGTGACTTCACCATCTTTTCCTTCAAATCAAGTTGCTATTCCTTTGAACTTACAGTAGAGGTGAGTCTGTAAAGCCATTCCTAAAGTTAATTTGAAAGACAAAATATCAAGTACTATAAATCTCGTATTTTCGAGGGGTCAAATTTTCGTGGTTTGAGGAATAAATTAGGCTTCGTTGAGATTTATTTTCTTGGATCAATAATGGTCAAGTTGTAATTTATGAGAAAAATTACAATTCAGGTAGGAAAAAATTTTGTTGGTCTTCTCATACCTCGAAAACCACGAAAATTAAAACACAGCAAAAATTTGTGATTTCACACTCAGTATGATATATATTTTTTTTATTCAGATATTCCTTATTTAATACGATAAAATAAAATATTGAATTTCTTTTTGTATACTTCATATTTCAGTTATATTTCATTGAAAGTTGAAGTGGAATCCTTTGTGCTATTAGTAATATCATTTCTTTTTCTTATTTATTAGAATATTGATAGAAGGTTTTTTCAAGTCATTGAAAGGCCAATTTCTCTAAGAGGAGATTATAATATAAGCAACATCCCTGTGGATCCTGGAACTGTTAAAGCCATTCTGAGAAGGGGTATTTCTGCATCTTTCTTTGGTCAGGTATTTAAAATTAACCAAACTTATAGCATAAACAAATTAAAGTTAAAGAACATTTTTTTCTTGTTAAGCTAAATACACGTATACAAGTTATGAACAATATTTTATTTGACGAATTTTTCAAATGATATTTACTTTGTATTAATATCTTTAAACCATTCTGGGTAATATTTTATGTAGACATCTAATATAAAAAAGAATATGTTCCTCAAACTTGTTAAATGGATGAAATGAAATTAAAGAATAATCTATTTTGGTTTCATGATTTGATCAATCGATTGACTTGCTTGATAATTTGATTGATTGATTGTATGTTGTTTAACGTCCCTCTCTGAGAATTTTTCACTCGTATGGAGACGCCACCACTTGCCGGTGGAGGGCTACAAATTTTTTAATATGCTCAGCACTCAGGGCCTTTGAGCAGTGAGGGATCTTTTTCGTGCCAGCACCTAGTGCGACACGGGGCCTCGGTTTATCCGGTCTCATCCGAAGGACCGGCCTCCACGTCCCATAGTGGGATTCGAACCCGCCACGTATAAGAATCGACTCCTTACTTCGCGACTCTAGAGCAGACGCTCTAACCACTGCGCCACGCGGGCGATGCTTGATAATTTGCATAAACGCTGAAGTTACAGACAATCCTCGTACATGTCGACATTCACGCAGGAGTGTTGAAAATATCAATTCAGTAAAATGATGTGTCTATTGTCGTAGTAGTACATGTACAGGGTGTTTCACAATATATGTCACACATCTAAATGGGCATAATCTGAATATCGAGCATGATACCAAAAATACCAAAACACCATAAGAAAGCATATTGATCTAAAATTATGATATTGCAAGGTATCGGGGAAATTATAATATACCAATAAGTAACTGAAGATTTTATTAGTGATGTCATAATTTCAGCTGTTCTCGAAATGGGGTTAAACTCGAAGCAAAAATTTGTCGTAAACTCTTATTTTAAGAACGATATCCTAAATATTGTACAGGGTATGATGATGAAAAATAACCAGACCAGAAGTTGCTGTCTAGTTTTCATCTATAAATAAGAATAATTAGAGAGTTTTGACTAAATTATAATGTAAAGGTGAAAGACAGTTAACCCCACCCCACCCCACAACAAAATCAAGAAGAGATGAGAACAATATCAAAGTGAAGTCAATCATTTAGAAAACCTCATGAAAGTTAGATCTGAATTTAGGAAAATGGATTGTAACTATGCCGATAAGTGTATCTTGCGTATTTAGAAATCTTAAATTTGAGTTAAGTGTTTCTGCACACAAGAGTTCAGCATCTAAAGCCAATGACGTTCAGAGTATACTCAGACAGTTGTTTTTGCAGCAGAATTTGGCGGGGCTTAAACCCCATAAAATAAAAATGAAAAATGAAAGTTTTTAAGCATGTCAATTATCTAATATACAAATAAAAACTTTTTCAAAGGGAATGACGCAATACACGCCTTAACAAGGGTTAGGTCTCATTGAAAGAAGTACAGTCAGCCATAGGTCTTCTTAACTTCGTTTGTGGGGAAGTAGTACCTGCTAGGGCCTTCTTAATTGTTAAAAGAGGGTGAAAAATCATGCCAAGGAACAGACTAAAGACTCCAGATAACGGGGGGAATTCCTGCAAAACTTATAGAAGCTATATGTCACACAAGCTCTACTAGTAGTCACCAAATTCTTTCAAATGCATTGTTTCTTACATCATTTTTGGTTTTTTTTAGATTGGGAGAATTATGTGTTAGGACACCCCAATCTGTGAATCAAGTGTTTTTAAGGTCAGACATACATTTTGAAACTGAGAAAGGGAAATTGAAAAGTGTAAGTTTAAGTTTGCGCTACACACAAAAACTATGCAATCTGGACAGTCAGTCACCATCTACCAAGAGGCTTAGTCTGTAAAACAACTCTGTCCTGTGTTTGTCCTTTTTTAGTATCTGCGCCAATTTAAACATTCAAAAGGGGCCCTTTTTAAATTTATTGATGGCACTCCAGTTTCACTGTCATTTTTTTCAAAACATTAAGATGCAAGTATTACACTCATAGGTTTGAATCAAATATTGTACAAAGGTAATAGTTTTCGTATTGGGGCAGCAACTCATGCAGCTAGGTTGGGTTCTTCTAAAAATGCAATTCAAACTATGGTTAGATGGAAATCTGATGCAGTCAAGAGATATGTAAGGACAGGATCCTTTACTCTTTCTCTCCAATAGTTTGTCTTTTTCCACAATTGATTGAATCAATATAAGGTATGATCTACCATCCTCTCCTAATAATAACAGTACAACACAAACCATCTGCTTATAAAGGTCGTCCCGCAATCAGTTTGTATTAGACAGATTATTCTTGTCATCTTCATGTAGGTTGTCCTTTAATAAGCTATAAATGGGTCAGATTATGTCTGTCAGGTTCATGTAGGTTGTCCCAGATAAGCTTTCAATGGGTCAGATTATTTCGGTCATGTTCATGTAGGTTGTCCCCAAATAAGCTTTGAATTGGTCAGATTATGTTCATGTTCCTGAAGGTTGTCCCCAGAAAAGCTTTAAATTGGTCAGATTATGTTCATGTTCATGTAGGTTGTCCCCAGATAAGCTTTAGATGGTTCAGATTATGTCTGACATGTTCAGGTGAGTTGTTCACAGATAAGTTGTAAACGGGTCAGATTATGTCTGACATGTTCAGGTGGGCTGTTCCCAGATAAGCTGTAAATGGGTCAGATTATGTCTGACATGTTCATGTAGGTCGTCCTTAGGTCAGCTTTAGCTGATTCAGATTAGGTCTGTCATCCCCTTCCCATTACAATTTATTACTCCTGGGTTATTTTCAGTCATGTGCAGTGGATGATTAGAGAGTAAATAACAAATTGGAGCATGAAATAAAGGACTCAGGCATTTGGAATGTGTACTGCGAAGCATTTGTATAGGCTAAATTACTGTTTGCAATGTAATTAAATGTAGTTAACCTTTGCTAATATGTTGTATTATTACAAATATACAATTATTTTAAATCTTTAATTGTACTGGAAATATTTTTTATCATTTCTGCAATTAAAATGTGGTAAGTTACAGGGGTTCCTAGCCACCATTTATTATTCAGGTATACAGAACAATTATCTTTTCTTAAAACTTGTGTATTAAGGTTATAAAGATTTTCCTCCTATGCTGTCCATGTACATGAGTTGTTTCCCTTGGTTGGCGGAAATCCAATGTAGTTGGATTTTTGGTGGCCTATTGTTTTTCAACTTAAATGTTTGATATATATATGTTTTTTTGAGTATTGTCATGATGTTTTTTTAATTTTTGGGAGATCCATAACAAGGTATACATACAAACTGTAGAAAGTCATAGAATCTCCCAAATTTCATGTGTCATTAATAAATGACATATTTACAACAATCTTGGTTTTTCATTCAGTCTGAAAATAAGAGAGCTGCGGGAAACTATGTTTTAAATTTACATTATTATCATATGGCATAATATTAATTTTCATTTACAATTTCCCGGTCATCCCATTGAAAATGTAGAAATGCACAAATTAGTTTGAGGTGTTCACATTGATCATAGATTACAATATACTTGTCATGTAGATGCATTTTTTAAAACTCTTACATATAAAATATATACTTAACGAAAAATTAAAAAGTTTCTTCCAATGTATACTAGAAAACTATTTTATAGTGCTTTTATTCTACCATCAATTTTATTTTGTCTCTTCATTTGGGGCAACTGTCCTCAAACGAACATGGATAGAATCTACAGATTACAAAAACGAGCAGCGAGGATTATTTTAAATAAAAAATATGATGCACCTTCAATGCCTTTATCTAACACTTTAGGCTGGTTAACGGCTTATGAATTGTTATATTTACAGAAGAGCATTCTAATGTTCAAAATATTCCATGGCATGTCTCCGGATTATATGCATAATCGTTTTGAATTCCAAAGTTCTTAATCATACACGTTACGCTCAGAAACAAACTCCGAACTTCGATTACCAAAATATAAGACTAACTTATTTTAAAATTCTTTTCAATTTTCAGGGTTTTTATGCGCCCGGATCGATAGATCCAGGGCGTATATTGCTTTTGTCCTGTCTGTCCGTCCGTCTGTCTATCTGTCTATTTGTTTGTTTGTTTGTCCCGAACTTTAACATTCACCATAACTTTTGAACCATGAAAGGTAGAGACTTCATATTTGGTATTCATACTCCACTAATAAAGCTCTTTCAAATGACACCAAGTTTGATGACCTTGTGACCTTGACTGTGGCCTATATGCTAAAAATACTTTTTTCTGCAAACTTTAACCTTCACCAAATTTTGAACCATTAAAGATAGTTCTTATTTGCTGTAATAAATGACATTCCTTTGACACCAAGGTCACCTTGTGACCTTGACCGTGACCTTGGTGCTAAAAATAGCTTTTTCCGTACTTTGTTGCTGCCGGGCGCATAGTGTTTCACAAACACATCTTGTTTTATCTGGAATGAGTAACCAATTAGTATCAGGAATTCCAAATCCCTTAGAATATTTAAAAGAAGTGTTAAAAATTCTCTGTTTATGAAACGCAATGGTTCTATGTGATTTCTTTTCTCTCTCTATGCTGAAATGTTGATGTTTTATTTCTTTGTAACATACTGTCCAGGTTTTATTGTCTCCTTATTGTGATTTGTATTTATTGTATATATACATTTTATATGTGTTTTAAAGAAGGCCCCGAGGAAGGCTTTTAAAACTCTTACATATAAAATATATATTTTAACGAAAAATTTGGGGAAAAGTTTCTTCTTCTTCTTATTATTTTTCTTACTACTTTTTTGTCCGAAAACTATTTCCGATAAGTGCTTGTTTTTAGGGTCATCAATTTTATTTTTCTCTTCATTTTGCGCGCAACGTGCTTGCCGCGCACGTGCAACACGTGAAATGACCAATATAATGAATATAGCCGTAACTTTTTCAATTTTTGATGAAATGCTTTGAAACTCAAAATATTAGGATATATTTTAAATAGAAAATGATGGTCAAAATAGCAAGATCTCACGCGCATGCATGTGCGCTTTATCTAACACTTATATCTTTGTTGTTTTTTGATAAAATCCTTTGAAATTTGAAACATAGTCATACATTAGGGAGATCTACAGCCTGATATATAAGTTTTATCATGAAAGCATTTGCATGCACGTGTGCTTGCAAGATCGCGCAGGTGCAACTTGAGAAATGTCCAATATTATTGATATAGACGTAACTATTTCATTTTTTTATGAAATGCTTTGAAACTCATAATGTAAGGATATATAAGAAGCTTAAACAAGAGGACATGGTCAAAATGGCAAGATCTCACACGCATGCACGTGCGCTTCGCTCAAAATATAAAACTAAAGTCTCAATATCTTTCTTGTTTTTCGACAAAATCCTTTGAAATTTTGAACATGGTTATGAATTATAAAAATCTACAGAGTGATATATAAGAATAATTTTGAAAAGCATGCGCATGCACGTGTGCTGCAATCTGATTGGCTGAAACTTTAAATGTCTATAACTTTCTTAGTTTTCAACGAAACGGGATAAAATTTAGAATATGAAAAGCTATAATGGATTCCTTCATTATGGTACTATCAAAATGCATGCACGAACATGCACGCATGCCTGTGCGAGCGCGAAAGAAGCAAAATGACCAATTTATCTAAGAAACGGTAACATTTATATTTTTATGATTTTTTTTTATTGATTCTCACGATATAAAGTTAGGTTATTTGGATTATGTATAATCATCTTGCATGTATATACATTGTATATGTGTTATAATGACATATAGTTGATAGCATTGTAGCCTTTATAATTCTTTGATGAAATCCTACCTGATCATATTTTTAAAAATGTAATTATTACAGGAATTATTACAAAAGCGATTTGGGGATTTTATCTTAACGTTCTTTGAATTAGCACTAGTTATTATTATTATTATTATTATATTTATTTTTATTTAGTTCATTGATAGAATTCGAATGGGCTTGTCAGCAAATACAATTCATCATTGAGTCAAATGCTGACTGATGTTTTCATACTTATTGTTAGTTTATTATCTAAACACTGAATTGACAACGGATTTTTTCCGTTATTTCCCAGTTATGACCAGGAGCACACGGCGGGTGTAACCGGTCGGTAGGGGATGCTCACTCCTCCATGGCATATGATCCCACCTTTGATTTTTTGGAGGCCCGTGTTTGCTCTGCTCCTATTTTGTACAGATTTATGGACTTTGATATTGAATACCGTTCGTTATCTCCATATCCTTCTTTCTAAACTTTTTGGGGACAGGCCATCCCGAAAATATAATAATAATTCAAATGTTCGTGCAGTTTGGTCATTCTAGTTCAACATTGTTTTGTTTAATATATTTCTATAGGAAATGACGCAATCCACACCTTAACAAAGGATAAAAACCAAGAACTCCGAGTTGATCTCCAGAGTTTTAGTGGAGAACAGGCCTATGCTGTGTATTCCACATTTTACATCGGAGATGAAAACAATAAATATATACTTACTGTGTCTGGATACAGCGGAACAGCAGGTGAGTTGTGGGATCCGCCCAGATGTAGTGGGATCAACTTATTGTACAGGTATTTAACTGTACATATTGTACAGGTGACGGTATTGACTGGACATATTGTACAGATATTTGATGGTATACATTTAAAAAAACTTTTACCTTGCTAATACCTTATGAGTTGGTGGGGATATGGCTTTCATATTTCTCGAGTGTATTCCCTTCTACTAGACCTTTCGTTTGGGTACCACCAAAAGCAAGAGTCACTTACGCCTTTTTTGGCCCAGACAATTTTTGAAAAATCAAAACTTTTCAGTTAAGGTTAAAATGCAGTACTTTTCACTTGGACTGTTGATGACCTTGTATCTTTATAACATAATCGTAATTCTCTCTCTAGTCAGTACTTTATGACGTCATAAAATGACTTATGTTTACTTTATCCTATAGATTCTTTTGAAAATGGCCTAAAATTGAAACTTTTTTTTTTTCAAAATTTCATATAGAGCTAATCCTCTGATTCAAAATATAAAATTACACAATGAAGGATAAATACAAACATGTTTTAATTTTTGCATCGTTGGCTGTGTTCACGTTTTGATTCTTTGCTGAAGGTAGTCAAATACGTATCTTTTCTACAAAATTCGAGAACATGGCATTTTCTCAAAGCTTGTTTTCCAGTACCTAGATTTTCAAAAAGGAATTTTATTTTAGAAAATGAAAGCACTAATGACAAGTCTTGACTTTATTTAAGAAATCACTATTGAGTTTTATTGGGATGTAAAACGGTTTAGTCATTTGAAGATTTGATCATGTGCCAACCCATTTTACATACATGCATCCCATAAAACTCAAAAATTGATACCTTATTACATATATTTACATTTGTGACCGATTTAGTTTTACTTTTGAAAACCTGTATGGTATAAATTGAATGTTGAACACGTCGATCACTTATGACGTCACTATGAAAACCATCGGTATGCATCTTTATTTTAGAGATTTTTTCTTGATTTATCATTCAAGTATCATTAATATTGAAAAATGTCTCAAGAGTGATCATTACTTGGAAGAACATTTTCCTTTAATGTTTTCTAGATACCCTGTAACTGGTGATAGTTTGGCTTGGAATAAAACTTACCAATAAAGATCAGGCTAATGACAAGAACCAATATACTCTGTTGCAGGTGACAGTTTGACTTGGCACAGTGGTTCGAGATTCAGTACCAAGGACCAAGACAATGACTACAAAACTGATGGTAGCTGTGCTGTAATGCGGCATGGAGCCTGGTGGTACAGCAACTGTCTGAAGTCAAATCTTAATGGAGAGTACGCCATGTCAGTTGCGTTCGCTTGGAATTACCCGGTATGGGAGCACTGGAGGGGATCTGAAGCAATGAAAAAGACTGTAATGATGATTAGAAACAAAATCTAGAGTTAATATATCTCGTTAATCCTGAAATTTTATAATAAATTTATGAATATTGACTGTTCCTAAGTACCATCTCGCTGGAGGGCTTGGTTTCACCATTCAAAGGGTAACCTTGTTTTTTCTTTAATAAACAAACCAAATATCCTATTCGCGTGGTTATGACACGAGGGAGCCTAGCTCCTGTGTTTTATTAAAGACCAAAGCCGAAGGATCCTGCACAGTATCAACATTATCATAAGAAGAAGTAACTTGTACAATCTCTTGTATAGTCAAATGAATTATATCATTGTCTTTCAAGTGTAAAAATTTTAAATGAAATTTTGCTAATGAGAAAGTGCTTGTTATCAATGGGGCATGTTCGAATGGGACGTAAAAATATAAAATCAATAAGGCAAGCTCATTTCAATTTATCACACAATTACATTTAAAATGTTTAAATCAAGTAATTCAATTTATCATTATTAATCATAAGGCATGGTTTAGAGTGACACATAGGACCTTTTGTTTTATAATAATTTTAAGCATTTTTGATACAAAATGTGAAACCTTGCTTCTTGTGATAACTTGTATATTGTTTACAATAATTTTTTTTTGGATGTAAATGCACCAGAATTATTGTACATGATTATAAAGTGATTTAATATGCTTAAGCAACATTTATTATGTCTTATTTTAGCTCTGATTTGGTTACCAAAACTTGCAGCATTACCGATCGTGTTTAACAACATCCCCAATTTACGATAATTTATTTACAAATTTTATTCTCTAAGTTTCTACGTAAATACTGTAAAGTAATCCATTTAAACTGATTAGAGGTGTTTATAATTACCAGTGACTGATCTCTATTCAGTATCGGCGTATTCTTTTGCTTACATCTCTTTTTACCGCCCACGAACTTTTTATGTTTTCATTCGTCTGATTGACCGCTTCACTACTCATCTTGTCACTTGTGATTATACTGCCTTATTGTTCATTATTTAACTATGTTGTACATTATTTCTATCTTTAATTATAATTGTAATATGATACTGACAACTATCTTTGTCCATTATTTACCTTATGATGGTGAACTATTTCCTTACTTTAACGATCTCTTCAATGCACTATGTTGTGAAGTCAAACTTCTGTATTAACATATATCGCTGCATGCACTACTTTTGAAGGCGCCTAGATTCGAATCTTGAGTTTTTGAACAGGACAAGTACGTCCTAAATATCTTCATCTAATATGTTTTACGGTGTAACTAGTAATTATTGTACTTTTTATAATAAAATATTTAATAATATTATGTTATATTTTCCTTCGTTTTGCCTTATCACTGAAATATGAGGAAAGTATTATTATTTGTCAATTAATATTAACAGCTACACATATTTATATAATACCACTTCTGTTACATTAAATCAAGGGAAATCAGCTTAGTTTAGGGAGGTGTCGATGTCTATATATCTTTGTAAATTATGGGGCTAGGGTGCAGCTATATCACGTAAAATCAGTGCATCAGTGACACCTTGATCAGAATACATCACAGGACTACTTATTCTATCGAAAAAGTAGACGTTTATATCTACAATTACCGACTAGATGTAGCAATACCTTAGGACCTTGGGAAAATTTATCAAGTTATACCAAAAGACTAGTGGATATCTACCTCAAGTCAAACCTTAGGACAAGTTGAAACTGAAATGTAGTTATACCTAAGGACTGGTGGACGTCGTTATATACTCCAGGACTAGTGAACGCCCAAATTTAGGTATACTTTATAATTACGACTCAAGGACACGTAAATTAGCTATACCTTAAGACAGGTGGAAACTTTAATATTCTGCCATATACCTTAGGTTTAGTGAACACCTATATCTAGTTTTATCAGAGTATACTAGCATCGTGATAAGTTGTAGAAAAAAGTTATTATATGCGAGAGTTGTCCAAAAAATTCGTGGACAATGCGTTTTTGTTAAAAGGAATGGTTCAATATTATATCATTTGTATATAAAATATTTCTTATGAAAAACCAAGTCACATAGATGTCATTTTTATTTAATGGGTATGCATCTTGTATAGTGCAACTGTTAAGTCGACGATAGTCAACACAGAATCTGTACGTCCAATCTCTCTTCCTGACCAACACTATTGGTGAGGACCATGGACTGTTGGAGGGCTGTATGACACCTTTCTCAGCATGTCATCTATATCATTGTCTACTTCTCTGTCAGATGAGTTGACACTCTTCGTGGTCTTTGTTCAATAGGTCTATTGTCACTTGTATCGATATGATGCTTGACTATTCCAGTCCTGCCAAAGTCCAAGCTATTTTCTGCAAATAAGCTACTATATTTTAACAGAAAGTCTTCTGCCCGCTTGAACTGTGTAGGAGTCATGTTGCTCTTCCTCTTATGAAGTAGATCAGCTAAATTCTTGCGTAGCACTTTGGTAGTGGCTGATTCCTTATTTACCAGCGAGTCCTTCACTGTGTCTATTTCAGCAAGTTGTAAGATGTCCAATTACTGTCCCAGAGTGCACCATCTTTGACTCTTGTTCAACATTCATTAGTCTAACTGGAACAGTTTCTTAAGGGGTTAATACTTTTCCAGCAGTTAATGTGCTCTGTTGTTTGTTGTACTTGTCAACTGGTTCAATAATACTCTCGCAGTATGGCAGACTTTAACCCTCTGGAACGCACACTTAGCTGCTGTAATTCTAAAGCATCCAAGTGAACCTTCAATTGTCATTCTCTTATCATGACCATTGACATCAAGAACTTTATTGCTAACATCGATTTTGCAGTAATTTCTTTTCATAAAGTCTAGGCCCAATATGCCATCTGCCTTTATGTTAGCAAACACTGCCTCGTTGTGGTATGTCAACTGGTCAATATTAAATTTGGCCTTCCCATGAACAGACAGAGTAGTGCCTTTGGCTGACATGATGGTCTGATTTACCTCATGTAAATTCGGTCTCACAGATGCTCGCAACTTCTTGTACAATGTGTCAGAAACAAGGGTGACAGTAGCACAAGTGTGTACTAGAAACTTAGCTTTTACCCCTTGAACATTTACATCTATGTACAACCCACCCTCCTCAATAGATGAACCAAGGTCTAAGGACACCTGTGGCCCTGGTGCTCTTTTTCCATCTCCGTTGGCCTGGTTCATAGATGCTTTTCCAGACCTGTCATCTGACAGCTTTTGCCTTCTCTTCAACTGAGTATTTATTTAGTTAGCATTTAATTATACAAAACGACGGTACAATTGCATTTTTCTTTACAGAATGGTTATCTAGAGTTTTAAATGACTGTTTACTGCCTTCAGGCAAGTACAAGGATTGTTCAACCATTCTGAAGAAACTCCAGGTCGGAAAGGAAAGGATGGTGTATATACAATTTATCCGGACGGAAAAGAAAAGAAAAAAATTTTTGGTGACATGACAACAGACGGAGGGGGTTGGACGGTGCGGGATTGTCTTCATTGATCTACTTTAAATTCACCATTTCTAAGATTTCATCAAATTATATTAGAGGTATTAAAGCTTCCAACTTTATTCTTAAATAAAAGGTTATACAGAAAATGTTGGACGAGAGTGCAGATTTCCACAGGAACTGGAGTGAATATAAAACTGGCTTTGGAGATCTAGCAAGAACTTTTGGTATAATGAATGAAATTTACCACAAAAGATCAAGACAAGATAAATTTTGTACTAACTGTGCATTACTATATCAAGGTTGATGGTGGTATAAAAAGTGCTATGTTTCCAAACAAAACAGTCTCTATGCGAAGTCCGTAACAACAGATTATAGATTTAACAGATGGAACAACTGGTATGGAGAAGCAGGATATGGAGATAACGAACAGTATTCAGTCTCAAAGTCCATAAAACAATACAAAATAAGAGCAGAGCAAACACGGACTCCCGAAACATCAGAAGTGGGATCAGGTGCCATGGAGGAGTGAGCATCCCCTGCCGACCGGTCACACCCGCAGTGTGCTTCTTGTCATTCTTACGCAATGGATAAAAATGGATCTTAGTGAAAATACAAGTTTTTTTTAGATCAATTCTGGACTCTTTTAGTGGGCTCTCAAGTTCATTTGTTACCAGTCAAAATGAGTCGACCCCAGAAGATGTGAGTATACCAGATTATATAAAAGTGAAGCTTAACAATGAGAGTGTAACAATTACTTTTGAAAATGAGGGATATTCTAAAATATCAAGACTCCTGCAGAAGAACCTAATATTCTACAATCGGAGTAACAGAAATGGCTGGATTTATAAGACTCCTTGTAAATCTGTAACGGTTACACTCTACAAATCTACAGACTCTCTCCATATCCAAGGAGATGCTGCTTTCACCTGGTACAAAAAATTCCTGCAAGAACTTGTAAATGATGTGGAACCTATCATCGCTGAAATATCTACCCAGCCACAGCCACAGTTAGCTTCAACACCAAAAGCTATTGACAAAAAATGTAAAAACAATGAACTCGGTGAATGCAGTAACTGCAATAGTGCAGCTACAATAAAACAGCTGACTGAGACTGTTAAATTCCTCACCCTTGAGGTAGAAAAACTAAAAGAGAAATTAAGCTCTAAAGATACCAAATCGTCTGTGTCTGCCAGTACGCAAACATACAAACTGGCAGTCAAACATAAGGAGACATCTACAGAGAGGCTTACAACGTTGTCTAGCGGCATTTCTAGACATGTGCAGTGCAACACCATTAAAAGTATGATTGAAACGAGCACAAACACAGATATATGCCCCACAGAACTTGCAAAATTAGATGAGGAAACACCCAAAGCCCAAAAAACAACAAAAAATGAAGAAGAACTACAATTACGAAGTGGATCATCCCTCATAATTGGAAGTTCAATCCTGCAAAGAGTGAGAACTCGCGGATTAAATAAATCTGTGAAAGTTTCTACAAACAGAGGAGCCAAGGTATCGCATATAAAAGCAAAATTGGCCAAAATGGATGTGTCGCCCTTCCGTAATATTGTCATTCAGGCGGGTGGGAATGATGTATCAAGTAACC